CTGACTCACCGTGTCCCCAGTTTTGTCCCTTCTTCCTGACATGTTTTGACACCTGATACCGTGTCACACTCCTGCGAGTGCCTGTCTCCTGTCCCGCACACAAGCCTGGAAGCTCAGCAGGGCAAAGCCTTCGTCACTGGGGGCCATGCAGAATGCCCAGCACCTGCAACCGTGGCTGACACACACTGGCAAGCAGACTAGTCCTGAACAGATGGCTGACAAAGTGGCCAGAATGCCCATGAGGACACGCATGTTCACAGTGCGCCTGACACCCAAAGCAGGTGACACGCGTGTGCGGATGACACACGGCGTCTGCAGCACTGGCTGCTCGGGGGGAGAGGAAGAGGTGGACAGGCAGTGGGAGGCAAGCGAGCGTCTAACAGCAGCCGCGACGCTCAATTCCTCGCTCAAGAGGCTGCAGCCCAACAGTTTTTAAAGCTGACCTTCACTAGTTCTGGGTGGAAGGGACAGAGCCGCCTGCTCTGCCACTCCCTTGTGTGCACCGCTGACCAGCCGCAAGGACCAAGCTGCAGGGATCCAGACTGCGCGCTGGGGGAGCCACAGGCTTGCTGACCGGGCGGAAGTGTCGATGGAGGCAGGACGGCGTTTGCCGCGGCGCACCCTGCATTTGCTGAAGCACTGGGACTTCTGACCTGCACTTTGCACCCAGCAGCAGCTAATGTGAAGAGTGCGGATGTATGACCACAAGCGCCCAGAACGCACACGGGATAAGATGCTCCCACTCCGGTGCTCAGCAGAGCATCTCTGAGTCAACGGCAGCAACAGGGCTCACAGGAGGGGTGGTGCACAGACCACATCCAGGGCGAAGACCGCGCACCTGCAAAGACCTGTCCAGGGCACCAGAGGACCCGCGGTGGCCCCGGGGGAGCATGTGCAGGCGCCAGTGCTGCTCCGAGCCTGCAGTGAGTGACGAACTCCCAAACTCGACAACGAGGGTGGCAGGTCCTGGGCTGGCCTCTGGAGGAAGGCGCCTAGCAAGCACAAGGACATGTCCCTGCGCACCGAGGACAGTGACCCGATGGAGACACAACACGAGTGCTGCCAGGGACCCAGGGACCCAGGGACCGGACCGACCGCTCTGGGCCGGGGACTGGCTGGTGGGACTGTGCCTGGAAACAGGACGCCAAGGGAGGCAGAGGGGGCCCCGAGAGTGAGGCCCCACAAGAGGAAGAGACAACGCAGCTGCCCCCAACTCGGGCACAGGGACAAGGTGTCACCCGCCAGCCCCAGGGACGGGCCACACCAGGAAGTTGCCCATCAGCACTCTGAGCTCGGACTCAGCGCCTCCAGAACCAAGAAAACACGCCTGTCTACGCCACCTGGTCTGCGGCACCAGCCGCGGCCGTGGGAATGGAAGAGTGGCAGGCTGCCCTAGCAGACAGGTGGGCGGTTTTCATTAATAAAAAGTACGCCCATCCTGTGACCTGGCCCCTGTGCTCCTGGTGCTCACCCCAGAGAAACGAAAATGTGGCCACACAGAGCCTGTTCAGTGCAGCCTCGCGTCTCACTGCAGAGACATGAGGGAACTGCCGCTGAGCAGGCAGTGGGAAGGACCGAGGACCTGCAGCACAGAGACAGACAGACAGGCAGACAGGGCACAATGCCCCGGTGCCTCCGCACAGCCCTGGGACAGCGGGCAGCCAACCCCACAGAGAGCCCCTCGGGGGGACAGAGTCAGGGCCAGGGTCAGACGTGCAGCTCAGAATCGCTAGTAGAGGACACACACAGGGCCCTTGGGAGGACAGGAAGCTGTGTGTCATGACTGTGTCAACCTCCAGACCCCGAACGAGACATTCGCTCTAGTTTTCAAGATGCCACCACGGGGGAGATGGGTGCTGGGACCGCTGTGTCATCTCTTACAGCTGCACACAAATCCACACCTGCTCAGAATCAAAAGTTTAGACAAAACCAGTAACGCCCCCATCTAAGACCCCTCGGAGAGCGACAGGTCGGCTAAGAACTAAGATGCCACCACACACGTGTCCTTGGAACCGGGGACAGCTTGGCGCCTCCGCAGCTGCTCAGGCCGCAGCCTTGCTGCTCCCTGCCTTGCCTGTGTGTGTGTGATGTAAAAGGGGACCTGTGTCCAATAAGGAAAGACTCCTTTTAGTAAGAAAGGGAAGAGTCGGACGGACATTTCACACGCAAAAACCCATGACTGGATGACAGGCAGGCCACACCCCTTCCCGTGGCTTCATCCAGGAAGTGCAAATCCAACCACAGGTAGACACCACTGCACACCCACAAGCATTAACAACACAGAAATAACAGCTGGCAACGTGTGTGGGGAGGGAAAGGGGAAGCAGGAACTCCTGCCAGTGGGACAAAACGTGGGCAGGCACAGTACAAGGGTCTGGCTGCCCCATGTGCAGAGACCCATGGCCAGCAACCCCCTCCTGGGCACTGCCCCAAAGCACTGGAGAAAAAGTGCTCTTTGCAGCTTCATTTCTAACGGGTAACAGCCCCGTGGAAAGGCCCCAATGTCCCCCCACAGCCTAGGGGACCGAAAAGGGCAGCAACAAAGGACTCGAACTTCAACACCCCAGTCCTGCAGAGAGCTGCTGGGGGTGCCATGGGGGGCTGCCCAGGGCCGGAGAACCGGGTTCTGGGCGACTCATCAACCCCGTCCCAGGTGCATGCAGCCAGCAAAACACTTGCTTCCTGCGCCTCTTCCTCTGCGCCAGTCACTTAGCTTCCGTCGTCTCAGGTGGGAAGATGAGCTCAGGCTGTGAGTGCGGAACTCCAGGCGGGCACGCACGGCATGCAAGCCCTGGAAGACGCCCATCCACAAGCAGACACCACTCTTCCCCGTCGAAGGAGGGGAGCGGGGAGACAGGAGTCTGGCGGGGCCTCCCTGCAGGGTAGCAAACACAGGAGGCAAGGGGCGTCCCATGCTGGGGGGTGTGAGGGTCAGCAGCACACGAGCACTCGGGGACCTTACTGTGTGGGACCCATCAGCACTATCTCTAGGAAATAGACACGTCCACGGAGCAGAACTCACGTTCCACATACACGTGGTCACTATCTACATGACAGGGACACATGTCCATGCAGCAGTGGGCGTCTGCGGAGAGGAGCGGTCAAGCCCAAGGGAGAACAGAGAGCAAATGCCACAGGGACCCCCACCACAGCAACCTGCCCTGTGGCGACCTCCTGACACGGCCTCCCACTCCAGGCACCCACATGCCCACAGAGAGAAACCGCAGGGTGGCAGGTGCTGGTCACTACACAAGGTCAAGCGAGGTGCAGAGCGAAACAGAACGGTAGCCTGTGCTCAGCTCCCTGCCGGCCCGGCCACTCCCATCGTGAGCTGCCCCAGGAGCAGGCACATTGCCACTGGGACAGAAGCTGGATGCCACTCCCTCCAGGAAAAGGTAGACAGGTGGTCTGCCGTTGCAGAGCAGCACACTCTGCCAGATGCCAAGGAGCCCAGGCGAAGCAGCCCCCGTGGGCTCCCAGCTCCCTTGGCGAGGCCCCATAGCCCAGCCCCATCCGCATCACAGTTTGCGTGAGGCGCTGGGGACCACACCTGCCCAGTGACCAGAGCCCATAAGTGCTGTGGTCCTGCCCACACTCCTGTCTCCCGTGGGTGTCAGGCATGGTCTGCCCCACCCAAGGGTGCCCCTGCTCTGCACTGCCCTCCTGTGACCAGAGTGGGTGTCTTCTGTGAAGGGAGAAGCCTCCCACCATCCGCGCTGAGTTTCGGAGAGCTCAGACCATGGCCTGGTACTTTCAGAAGAAGCCCAGTGGCCTGGGGCACCCTCACTACTCTTACAGATGTGAGAGAACGCCACTCTCCAGGCTGTTGGCACGGGACTCCGGCCCCTGTCTGAACAGAGAAGAGCCTGTGGTTTTCTTGACACATCACACCCAAGTCTGCTTGCTTCTGACCACAACACAGGGATGCTGCAGCAGCCAGGTCACCTCCTTGGGCCTTGAAGAATGAGGACAGCAGACAGGTCAGGTCAGCTGGCTTCCTACCTCACGCTGGCAGCAGGGGTGGCGAGGGTGCCAGGCCAGGCCTGCTGCCCTGAGAGCTACCGTAGGCAGGTTTGGTCCTAACCACTGGGCCGCTGCCCCGCTCGAACCAGCGTGGGGAACAAAGACAACAGCTGTGCTCAGCCAGGGAGCGTGAGGACTGGCAAGGCCAGTAAGGCCAACAGAGGGTAAGGCGAATCCGGGGCCGACAAGGGCACTGTACCAGCGTGGTGGTGATTTCCGTGTGAGGCAGGGACTAGACAGCCCGGAAACTAGGTCCAGCCTACAGGGATAGTGCCCACCAGGGCTGACCCCTCAGACCAGGTCAGAGGAGGAAGCCGGGGCCAGACGCCCACCGTCCGCCTATCCCGGGAGACCGGGGCAGCAGCTGCTCTCAACAAGGTGCCCGACTACCCAGGCTCGGAGCCCCGTCCACGAGGCTGTCCGCGCCCCGCAGCAGCCCTGCACGGGACGGGAAAGGCCAGGTCTTTCCCACCGGGCCGCGGGGCTCCCCTTCGGACTTCCGCCTCCTCGGAGGCCCCTCGGCTCCCCCGAGCTCTCCGCCCGCCCGCCCCTCCGGCCCCGCGGCCAGCCCCCACGCCCCATCAGGAAGTGCCCGAGCCCGGCCGGGTCTCCCCGCGCCTGGGGCCGCGAATGCCGGGCCCGGCCGTCCGCCCGCGCCTCACCCTCGGCCAGGACCCGCCGCACCCGCAGCCGCAGATCGCCCAGCTCCACGGTCTGCCCCACGAAGTCGGTGTGGTCGCGGCCGGCAGCGCCGCCCAGGGAGCCCGGGCCCGCCAGGAAGTCGAGCGCAGACTGCAGCAGCGACATGGCGGCGGCCCGCTGCGAGCGCCCTGGGGCGCGGGTCCCGGTTGTCGGGGTCCGCTCTGCAACCGCCGACCCCTAGCCGCACCAGCTTCCGCCCCGACGCCGTGACGCAGGCCCGGAGAAACGCCGGCGCTCCGCTTCCGCCCTGAGGAGACCGCGCGTGCGCAGAGTCCTGGTGGTGGTGCGCGTGCGCGGTGTCGCCGGTTTGGCGGAGACCTTCCGGCCCCGAGGTCCTGGCCGTCGGTTCTCTGCTCACTGGGGCACCGACCCGCGAAACCGTGGCCGCACCAGCTCCCACCCAGGTAGTCCGCCTCCCGGTGCAGCTCTTCGGCTACCCCGGAGGTCAGAGCCGCGTCGCGGCTGGGGGCGGAGCCGGCCTGAGTGCGCGGCGGGTGGCGGGCGGTGGCCCCTGCGGGCGAGGACGAGAGATGTGGGCGGGGTGACACCCAGGTGAGGCTTAGCCTCGCCCGCAGCGACTGGAAGCCTCCGAGATGTTCAGTAAGCCCGGTAGCACCGCTCATGGCCCTGGCTTGTGGGTTTGGTGGGGGCGCCACACGAGTGGGTTTCCCTTTTCTTACAAAATTGGTTGTTGCTAAAGACTAAAAAACTTAAACCTAAAAACTCAGCTTCTGTAGAAAAACCAGGCCCAGAACCGCGTGTGTCCCTGGTCACCTAGAGCCGCCCGCTCAGGGCAGACTCTTTCATCCGATCCACTTGGTTTGGCTCGTTATTGCTCCCGGAGGCTCACGGGGGCTCCCGAGGCAGCACGCCCTTAGATAAAACATCCGTCTCAGACTGAAAAGCGGACCTGGAAGCCTCGATCGGCATCTTTGCAAAATTCGAAGCTATTAAAACCTCTTCCCAGACAGGCTACTTTGTGACCGGCTTTGTACAATACTAACGGCAGCCTAGTTCGTCCAGCGCTTCGCTGCTCACTCGCCCTCCTCTGTGCAGTGGTGCATTTCAGTGATACAGCTTGGAGAAGACAGTCTGGATAATCCCTCTTTTTTCTTTCTTTCTTTCTTTCTTTCTTTCTTTCTTTCTTTCTTTCTTTCTTTTTTTTTTTATAAGAAAACAGAATGCAGCTATGTCATTACTTGGCCAAGGTCAACAAGGGATACAGCTAGAATTGCACACAAGTCACGTGCTTTTGGAGCCAGTGCATTTGTCTGGCAAATGGGATACAGGGGTGGGGGGCCCAAGGAAGAGTGCAGACGGCCATGGGGATGTATGTCTTCAGCATGCAGATGGCAGTTGACATCTAAAAGCTGAGGACACCTTTTAGAGAGGGGCTAGAGCTCCAGGGCAGGAAGCCAGGCAGTTTGTGGCCAGGGAGCTGAAGGAAGGATGTGTCCAAGGCAAAAAGAGCATCAAATGCTGCCTAATAGTCAAATAGGAAAAGGGTTAAAAAGCGTAGGATGGATTTAGCAGTGATGAGGTTGCAAAGAACAGTTTCAGGGCAGTGGAGAGGTGGGATTTGCAGAAGTGCAGGGTGGAGGGGAGGAAGAGAGCCAGGAGCTGGGAATAGGAAGTGGGAGGGGAGGGAATGGCATCAGAGCGGAGGGGCAGGCTTTACCTTGGAGGGGGAAAGACACTTTGTTGTGAAAGGAAGGGAGGAGGGTGGGCTGTGGCTGGAGGTAACTTTCTGTGTTTACTGGAGTGAAAGTGTTCCACTGGAAGGAAAAGGAAACATCTACTGAGAATGAGCAGGAGGTGAGAGAGCTCGAGTTAAGCAATGTGGAAAAGATAAAAAATAGCATCGTGGGAAACCTCATGAGGAACCCAACCGGAAAACACGGTGAAGGGCTCACTTGGACTTGGAGGCCAGGGATTTATCCTCACAGGACCTAGGACCAGGTGGAGAATTCTAAATAGGGTAGTTACTTTTTAGTTCATAAATATTTACGGATCACTTTTTATATTGGCTCTGCCCGTGGGTGATATAGTAATATAGTCTTAAGTCAAACCGAAATCTCCACACTACGCCTCTCTCCTGAATTCCACACATTTGTTCTTAAATAGCCTACCTGGTATGTATGTGCCTAAAACTGAATTTGTGGTCTCCTTCCTCAAACCTGTCCCTATGTAGTAGCTCGAATGAGGGCAAGTGGGTATGACTTATGTGACCTAACTTCAAGAGTTACAAAGCTACAATGATCAAATCAGTGTGGTGTTGAAATAAAATAGATGGGGAGATCAACAGAACAGAATAAAGATTCAGAAATTGGCCCACAAGTATATATATGGTCAATCTATCTTTGACTAAAGGATAAAGGTACTAGGAGAAAGAATAGTATTTTCAACAAACGATGCTGGGAAAACTGGATGTCCATGTAGAAAGGAATCTGCCTTTCATCAGGTGTGCAAAAATCACCTCAAAATACATCATAAATCTGTGTGGCACCTAAAGCCATGAAACTTCTAGAACACAATCTGAGGGGTTTTTTTGATGTGACGCCAAACCACAATTCATAAAAGAAATAAGCTAGACTTTGTAAAAACTAAGAACTTTGAATCATACTGTTGAAGATGCCCCTCTACAGATGAGTGGGTAAACTGTGGCACAGCTTTGAAGTAGAGTATCATTCAGTGATGAGAGAAAAGAGCTCTGAAGCCACAAAAAGACACGGAGGAACATTAAATGCGCGTTGCTGAGTGAAGTCAGTCAGTCTGAAAGGGCTGCGCAGGGTCCTTCCAACGCCACAAAGGGGCAGAATTACAGTAAAGGCATCGGTGGTGTGGTAAGGGGTTTGGGGGGGAAAGGGGGAATTGTTAGGGCTGCACAATTCCTGTGTGATTCTGTGACAGGCCCCACACGTGTCAGAACCCACGGCACTGCCGTGCAGAGCCAGCCCCTGTGCTCCGTGACTGCTCGGCGTCCCCCCTCTGCGCACTTCCCCAGGCCCAGCCGCGCAGGACGCCTGCTCCCACAGCACCCTGACCTGTCTCCGCTGCTGGGTCACGGTCCAGTTCGGTTTATGTCTGGAGCCCGGTGCCGCACGTAACACCCTCCTGCTCCCAGGTCTCCAGTCAGCCCTCTGTTATAGGAGTTTGCAGCTTCTCCCTCTCGTCCCCACCAGGACTTAAAACTTCGGTCTCTTCCCTCAGCTGCACTCTTGCCAGTGTTGGTTCTTTGTTCTTCCTCCATCACCGTGATGCTGAGAGGCGTGTGTGATGCAGGCAATGCGTGGCTGAGGGGCACACCGGGCACTGGGGCCTTACGAAAGCGGAACCACGGGAGCCACTGTCAAGGGTGCGGTTGGGGGTGTCGGGCACGTCATGGGGCTGCACGGCCGCCCCTACCGCCACGGCCCTCTTCCTCTTGCGAGACTGAAACTGCCCCGTGAAACAGTAACTCCGTGCTCGCCCCCGCTGGCCCCCAGCACCCACCAGCTCCTTGCACTCTCGGATCCTGGCCTCTCTGGGACCCCTGCAGTGGGGTCGCTGCTTCAGCCGTCGGCTTCACTCAGCGCAGTGTGCTGCAGGCTGGCCAGACCCTCCTCCTGAAGGCTGGACGGTGCTCCCCCACGCGGGTGGGCACGTTTGCTTGTCCATCCGCCCATGGATGGACGTGCAGGTCACTCCTGCCTGTAGTTGTGAATGACGCCGCCGCGAGCCTGGGTGTGCCAACAGGCACGGCAGCTCCGTTCACGTCCGCCCCACGGTGGGAGCCACCTGCAGTCCCCTGCTTCTGGCTGCAGCCGATCATTGCCCGCATCCAGCGGAGGGGCTCTTGGCCTCCTCCCTGGCACAGATCCCCTCGGGGCCTCACCCGCCCCACTCAGCTCACACGCGGTCCCCTAGGCCCAGGGCTTCAACACATGACTCCTTGGGACCATGAACAGTCCATAGCACTTTCGGGCGTTTAATAGTTTGAGGGTTCGTGACGTTCGTTGCTGAGCCGTGCTCAGCTGGGGCCCCTGGGTGCTGCCTCGTCCTGCACGCTCCACGCGCACCTGGAAGCCGGCTGCCACCTCGGAGCACGCGTGCACTGCCGTGGTCACCGCGGAGGCCACCCCAGCAGACTCAGACCTGTGCTTCTCCGCAGGCCCCGCCATGTCCAGGCCCCAGGGCCCAGAGCCAACCCTTGATGTGCAGGGAGACCACCCCGTGGGCACGGGGGACGAGGACGCCGCCGAGGGGACGCAGCACTCCCACCGCATGCTCAGCTTCAGCGACGCGCTGCTGTCCATCATCGCCACCGTCATGGTCCGTGCGGGGCCCGCCCAGCTCGAGCCCCCCACCCAGAGCCACTCACTCGGGACCCAGCTCCACCCTCCCAGGCAGCCGGGCCCACATCAGCCCCATGCTGGGCTCCCCCAGCCCCACGGGTGTGTAGAGGGGGTGGGGGAGCAGCCGGCGCGGGGCCCGTGGCTTCCAAGGAGCAGCAAGCGCACAGCCCGAGAGACACCCCTCAGTTCCTTCTGTGTCTTGTTGGTAGATCCTGCCTGTGACCCACACGGAGCTCTCCCCGCAGCAGGTACCTGGGCGTGGGGTGTGCCGCCTGGTGTGAGGGGAGGGTCCCTGAAGCCGGGAGGGACACTGGTCAGCCCCCACCCTGGCCTGTGAGCAGAGGCAGCGTCCTTGCGGGGAAGGCACGGGCCCCTCGCGGTGGGCGCTCGGGGAGGAGGTGCCCGTCGGGAGGCCGCAGGCAGGGCCCTTCTAAAGCGGCGTCTCCGGGTGGAGCCAGCGGGAGCCTCTGGACTCTGTGAAGTCAACAGCAACACGGTGAGGGACTGGACGCAGATTTGGAAGATATCAGAAAGTCCCTGGGGAACCTCCTCATTTGTGACCGGGGTGTCCTCGCAGCTGGGGGGGGGGGAGGTGCACTTGGCTGTGGTCCATCTAGACTGGTGCACATGACCTGGGTGCCTTTTCGGGCCATGGGGCTGCTTGGCTTGGCCTCTCCATTTGTGGAAAGGCAACAGCAGCACCTCCCTCAGGGCTTTCCTGGGAGTTAGTTGCCTAGAAGGGGGGGGGAGCCCACTGTGGGCACCAGCACCCGGACAGGCTGGTGCCGCTCTCTTCCCGAGTTGCCCCCATGAAGGGACCCTGTGCCAGCAACACCCAGGAAAGCCCTGCTGCCCAGGGGCCGTGGGTACCAGGGAGCACCGCCACCTGATGGGGATTCGCTTCTGTCCCAGCAGTTGGATGAGAGTGTACAGAAACTTCTAGCAACCAGGATTGCTGTCTACCTGATGACGTTTCTCATCGTGACAGTGGCCTGGGCAGCACACACGAGGTGCGGGGCCGGGCGGGGGCTCCTGCAGGGCCGGGGTCTGAGCGCCAGCGCCCGTCCTCGGGGTCGTCGAGCTGCCCCCACATCCCGGGCTGAGCCTGGGGGTGCCGCTGGGTCAGTGGACAGCCCTCCCGGCCCGCATCCCGCTCTCCAGGCCTCTGCTGGTCCTCTGCACCGGGCGGTGACCTGGCGTTGCACGGGACAGTGCACGGAGGGCTGCGGCCAAAGCCCTCTGCCCTTTGGCACCCACGGGTGTGGGCCAGGACCAGGCTTCGGCCATGCCCTGGGCCTCAAGGAGGGAAAAAGGCTCCTTAGGATCTGAGGAGAAAGGGACTCAGAGCTGCAGGGGCCCCTGAGCCCCCACCTGGGTGCCCACGGGCAGAGCTGGGATGGGGGCAAGCCTGGAAAGGACATGTTCTCAGCGGCAGGGGGCCGGGTGCGAGGCTCTCGGGCATTGGCTCTTCCTGGTGGGGACGGGCTTAGGGGACAGCTTCTCTCTTCTGCGTCCCTTGTTCACAGAAGGCGGGAGCCAGTGGGCCACAGCCACCCTCTAACCCACCTTGTCCTGCTGTGGTAGCCACAGGCTCCTCTGTGGTCCCCCCAAGGCCACACCCTGCTGCTGGAGTGCTGGCCTCTGGGACCAGCCCAGACGCCTGGCCCATGGACCTCAGGGCAGTGCTCCTCACCTGGGGCCTCCCTGAGCGCTGGCCTGGGAGGCCCCCCCGGAAGGGGGCCACAGCCCACAGAGCCCAGTCCAGGAAAAGGCCCATCTTCAGAGGGGCCGGTGCTCTGGGGAGACCCCCGGAGGGGCAGGAGGGGAATGGCAGGTGCAGAGCTGGCTCTGGTGAGCTCCGCTGTGTCTGGCTTGCTCTCGTTTTTCTTCACGTCCCAGCACAGCGTGAAACTGTCCCTGCTGAACAGGCCGTGCCAGCAGGTGTCCTGGGAGGGATTCCTTCCCAGAGGTGGACACAAGGCCTGGAGAGCAGGCCCACGCTGGGCAGAGCTCACCCCTCGCAGGGCCTGGTCTCGGAGGCACCGGTGTGGGGCCTGGCTTACCCTCGGCACAGGCCCCAGTAGCCCCAGGCCGGGTCCTCCCAGGGGTCCGTGGGTCAGCCTGCCCTGCTCTGGGGACATCGACCCCCAGAGCTACCACACGTATCAGTTTCTTCCCAACTGCGGGTGCAGCCCGTGAGTGCAGAGACGGGAAACTAGTGGCGGAGGCGACCCGCGGTCTCCAGAGCACTCGGTTTTCTTCTGCACGTTTTAAGTCTCTTCCAACCTTTGTGCACAGGCCGAGTTGCAAACTGGCCAGAAACAGGGTTGGGATGGCCGAGTCAGAAATACTTGCTGTGGCGCCTCGAGGTCCACGTTACTGACGGGGTCTCCTTGTGTTTTTCTCAAATCGCTCAGATTGTTCCAGGTTGTTGGGAAAATAGACGATACCCTTGCCTTGCTCAACCTGGTGAGTGGCCCTTCCTTTCTGGGACGTGACTCCCTGTGTAGACCTGCCCTCCAGGCAGGAGTGGGAGCCAGTTGGCTTCTCTGCGGCCCTGGCTCCCTGTGTGGGGCGGGCAGCAGGAGGGGGTCACCGGCAGCCCGGAGTGACCTGCCTGCCATCCCCCTTCGTCCCTCCTGCTTCCCAGGCCTGCATGATGACCATTACCTTCCTGCCCTTCACGGTGAGTACAGGCCAGCTCCCAGGCCCCGTTGGGCATGGGGTCCAGCCTACCTCCTGCTGGGGGACAGGACACTGTCCGGTGGGCATGCAGGGCAGGGAGGTGTTCCCTGAGTTTGCAGGCGGGGGGCTCTCAGGCCACAGCAGGCCTGCAGTGGCAGAGACACCTGGGTCCCCACAGGCTGATGGGGGACCCCCCTCTGCGCTTCCTGGTGCTCCCAGCTGCCGCCTGCCCCTAGCCCACAGCCTCCTGGCCACCCTGGCCTATCCCCAGGGTGCGGCCTCTGGGGCCACAGCTCCCCCTTGCCCCCAGCCCTGCACTGCGCACTCGGACAGGGAGCAAGGCCTGCGTGTGGGGGCTGTGCATCCTGGAGGGTTGGCCTGTGGAGTGTCTCGGGGACGGGGCACTGCTCCAGCGTCCAAGGGGGAAAGCATCCCCTGGGCTCGCTCTCTAGAGGGGGTGCCCCCGGGGCAGACCAGCCCAGCCCAGCCGGCCGCAGCCCTGCGCCCTGTGGAACCCGGCTCTCTGCTTTCTCGGCCGCAGTTTTCCCTGATGGTGGCCTTCCCCGCGGCGCCTCTGGGCATCTTCCTGTTCTGCGCATGTGTGATCGCCATTGGGGCCGTGCAGGTGGGCTGCCCCTCCGCACACGCGGTCCCCTCAGCGCCCAGCGGGGTATGCTGCAGGGAGAGGTGCCACGCAGGTGCCGCCAAGTGGGCTCCAGTGCCCACACAGGGAGAGCCCGGGCCGCAGCGGGGGTGCATGAGCCCGTGGCTGCACAGCACAGCAGCCTGAGCCCCCACGCGCGGCAGAGCAGGGGCTCTTGTGCCCTCTGCCCTGGGACTTCGGGACATCCCGCTGGGAGCCTGGCAGCAGAGCCCATCCTCCAAGGGCCCGCCCTGCAGCCACTCCCCCCCACAGGCGCTGATTGTGGTGTACGCATTCCGCTTCCCCCACCTCCTGAGCCCCCAGATAGGCCGCTCTGCCCACCGGCACCTCCACCGGCAGCGTATCCTGCACCTTGTGCTCCGGGGCCCGGCGCTGTGCTTCCTGGCTGCGGGCTTCTCCCTGTTCTTCTACCCGGTGGTGAGTAGGGGCGGGTCCAGGGGAGCAGTGCCTGCAACGAGCCCGAACCACAAGGCTCTGGAGCTGGCTCCTCACTGGGCAGGTGCGCTTCAAGGCCTGACCACCGCGGCCGGTTCCCCTCCACTCCGTGGTCCCGGCCTGTGGCATGGGCATCCGTGCTGCCCACCTCTCCGCCCACACACTCCCGAGCTGCCCTGAGCGCCGTGCAGACGCCCCTTGGAGAGGGAGCCTGCTCTCGCCGCCGGGCCCCATGCTGTGCGGTTTCCCAGGGCAGCTCCGTCAGGCTTCCACCGCCACGGCTCCTTCTTCACTCCCGCCATCAGGGCGTGAAATCCCAGTGTCCCCTCCCGCCAGCACCGTGTTCTGGTTTTGAGCGTGGCTGTCCTGGTGGGTGTGAGGTGACGGCTTGCTGTGGCTGCATGGTCCTTCCCCCATGGGTAGTGACATTGCGCATCCTGGGGCTTGTGGGCGAGGGGCTCATCCCTCACCATCGCCAGGGGGTGCCGGCGCCCACCCAGGGTCCTCCGCAGGCGTGGCTGCAGGCACTGTCCCCTCCGGCCATGCTGTGTGACACACAGCCGCTCCCCTGCCGCGAGGCTCCCTGCGCTGCCGCCCGCCCGTCAGAGCCGCCCTGACCTGCACTGCCTCCCCTGCAGTCGTACCTGCTGTTGGCAACGGTCATCGTCCTCCCCTATGTCAGCAAGGCCACCACCTGGTGCAGAGACAGGCTCAGGGGTGGGTGCCCGGGGCTGTTCCCCTGCATGGTCCTGGCCCTGTGGGGAGGGGGGCAGTGACGTCTGAGCTGGGCCTGCGCGCTGAGGGCTCGGCCAGCTCCTCCTCCCTGCCTCGTGCACAGGCCCCCAGGAGCTCCCAGCTCCCGGCGTGGAGTTCTTCACGTTCGACCTGCAGGAGCCGCTCAGCAAGGAGCGGGTGGAGGCCTTCAGCGACGGGGTCTATGCCATCGTGGCCACGCTCCTCATTCTGGACATCTGGTGAGACCCACGCTCGGGCCGCCCGGGCTTGTGGGACGGGTCCCCAAACCCCGCAAGGAGCCCCACCCCAGGCAGGGCTCCCAGAGTGTGGGGTCTCTGTGCCAGCCATCCCCCGTCTGGCTCTCCTGCCCCACCCATCTCGCTCGTGCCTCTGAGGCCTGCCTCCGCCGGCCCCTCCTCTGGGTCCTTGGCTGGGCCTCCCGACGCCGCTCACCTGCTGGCAGCCTTGGTTCCATGCTCGTGTCTGACAGTCTAGTCTGTCTAGTCTTTGGTCCAACCCTCTCTTGGTCACCTTTGCTACTGTAGTTTGTGAATTTTTAAAATTGGGAGCAAACGTCCCCTGGTACTGATCTCTGCGGTCTAGACCTAAGCTTCCAGAATCATCTGCAACTAGTACAGATCCCCTCCCTGAGTGCTGTGAGGGTGGCTGGGTCTGGGGGCCGGGACTGGGATGTCCTTCCCTCTCTCTCTACCCAGAGCCCCAGCCGCCCTGCTGTTGACCCTGAGGACCTTGCAGGGTCTCCCAGGCAACCCCCCACTGGGCTCGCTTTCTCGCTCCTTCCTTCAAACCCTCGGGTTCTGCCCTGTCGCCTGGCTGTGGGTGCAGTGTCTCAGGCAGCTCATCCCCTGGTGGGTCGAAGAGTGGCCCCCACCGGTGCTCTTGCCCTGCAGCTGAGAGCACAGCCCCATGACCTCCAGGAGGGGAGGAGACCAGGGCAACACATGCCTCAGAGTCGCTCCATTCCGTGACGGCTGCAGGCCCACCCCCGAGTGGACAGGCTGCTGCAGAGGGTGGGTAGGCCTCACGGCACCCACCTGTGGCAGCCAGAGGGGCTCGGGCGGGTGCTCCTCGCCAGCCCCTGGGGTCCAGCAGGCAGAGCTGGGCTGCCAGTTAGCAAAACGAACAGGATCAGCTGGGCTTCAACTTCAGGTGATCACCCGCTGTTCTGAGTGTATGTAGATGCAGGGTAACGTGACCTTAGGGTCCCCAAAGTCCCTGTTGGCCCCCGAAGCCTACACACGTGGCGGCAGCAGCCTGGCCGGGCGGGGGTGTGGACCAGCCCTACAGGTGCCGTCTGTTCGCACCCACAGCTCGGACAACGTCCCGGACGCCAAGGAGGTGGCGGAGCGGTTTCACGGCAGCCTGGTGGCCGCGCTGAGCGAGTCTGGGCCGCAGTTCCTGGCGTACTTCGGCTCCTTCGCCACCGTGGGCCTGCTCTGGTTTGCCCACCACTCGCTGTTCCTGCACGTGCGCAAGGCCACGCAGTCCATGGGGCTGCTCAACACGCTCTCGCTGGCCTTCGTGGGCGGCCTCCCGCTGGCCTACCAGCAGACCTCGGCCTTCGCCCGCCAGCCCCACGATGAGCTGGAGCGCGTGCGCGTCAGCTGCGCCATCATCTTCTTCGCCAGCATCTTCCAGTTTGCCATGTGGACCACGGCCCTGCTGCGCGAGGCGGAGACGCTGCAGCCCTCCGCGCGGTTCGGGGGCCGGGAGCACGCCTTCATGTTCGCCAAGCTCGCGCTCTACCCCTGCGCCAGCCTGCTGGCCTTCGCCGCCACCTGCTTCCTGAGCCGCTTCAGCACGGCCATCTTCCACCTCATGCAGATCGCCGTGCCCTTCGCCTTCTTGCTGCTGCGGCTCCTGGTGCGCCTGGGCCTGGCCCTCCTGCGGGCCCTGCGCGGCCTGGCCCCGCCGGTGCAGCTCGCTGAGGAGGGCCCGCAGGCCCCGCTGCTCCCGGCGCCCTGCTAGCCCATGCCCTCCTGGACTGGCTGTGTGGTGTTGCACACGCCCACCTGTATCCTAGGCACGCACGGGCTCAGGCGGCCACGGGGCTGCTGGCAGTTGAGTGGCTCTGGTCCTTGACCCCAGCCTGCCCCCTGGCCCCCGCACAGAGCTCCCCAGTGGCTGCTGGGCTACAAACCACCCTTCCCACCCACTGTTCCCTACACACCAACGGGAGTGAGACAAGGTGGCGGCACCCAGACTGTATTGTGGGGGACTTGAGTCAGTGCACGTAGTGTGGGCTACACGGGGGGCGCCTCTGGGCATAAACATGGGGTTGCAGGGCAGGGTCCCCAAGCACACCTCACGGGTGGTCCCACAACAGCAGCAGGGCCCACAGGGCATAGACAGGGGACACCACGGGGGCGAGGGCGGGCCACACACCCTGGAGGCACACAAGACAATACCACAAGCTGTTCTGTATATTACGGGTGCAGCTTTGGCAGAAGCTGTGGGGGCACAGACTGGGCGGGGCCACGTCTGAGGTTGAGGCAAAGCCACCAGCCCTGCCAGAGGTGCCAGCAGCAAAGGGACCCTGCCCAGGGTCAACGGTGGAGCCTCCGGGGCAGCCAGAAGTTCCCCGGGCAGGCTGAAGCTTTGGTCGGGTTCCTCCTGGGGTCTGAGGTGTGGGTGGTCCAGACTTGGGCCAGCAGAGCTGGCAGCTGCAAGCAGCCTGAGACCGCGGAAGTCGTGTCTGCTCAGCAGACACTGGGAGCAGCCACGCTGACTGTTCACAAACGAGACGCAAAGTGCCAAGTGTCCTCAGTGATTAAAGCTGGTTCCCACGTGCTTTCTGCTGTCGTTGCTTCCTGGGCCCCGCTGCTCAGCTCTGGTCCCTTCTGGTCCCTGCTGCCCGCTCCTCCTGGTGCCTCCGGGCACCACATGCTTTCCTCGAGGTGGTGGCCGGGCTGCCTGGCCTCCTTGGGCCCTGCTACGCAGTGTAGCCACCTCTGGGTCACAGACAGGCTCACGGTGCCAAGGTCAGGAGGTGAGAGCAGCTGGTGGGCGGGCACCCCGCGTCAGTGCTGGGCACACCCGGGGCCCAGCTGAGGTCCAGGGCTGCCCGCTCAAGGGGCTCGGTGGGTGGGTAGGGGGACACAGGGAGGCCAGCTGCCTGCCCCTGTGGTGGTGGCCTGGGCCCTGGGGAGGGAGGGGTGACCAGCAGAGCCCTTGTCCATCCCGGGTCACCGGTGGGGAAAAAGGCCCGAGGACAGGGCTGTAGGCACATCTGTCCACCGCCGCCGCCGCTGCTGCTGCTGCCGGGCAGCCCGGGCTGCCCTGGAGCCCTCTCTACTTAGGGTCCCCGTTGGGGAGAGGCGCCCCATCTGCTCAGGCATCCTTGGGGGTCCCAGCCTTCTTGGGCTTCTGCTTGGCCTTCCTGAGCATGTGGACCTGTCCCAGGGCAGGTGAGGTCAGAGGGCAGCTCACTGTAAACCAACCGACCCAGGTCCCCAGGGCAGCTGCCACCATCTTGGTGCATTTGACGAAGGGCAGGCAGTGGGGCTGAGTGGTTGTGTGGCCTGTGGAGCAGGGGCCCAGCCCCACCACAGCCCGGCTGACACCCTCTGAGGCCCCGGGGGCTCATTTCCACAGAGGGGAGACAGGAGCTCTCGGAGATCTGGCTGACCTCTCCTGGGCCTCTGGGCCTCAGGACCTCCCAGGGTCGGGGAAGAACGGCCCACGCCAGGCCCCTCACAGCCCCATTTCCCAGCCCCACCCGGCACACCCCATGGCTCACCTTGGGGCCCACGGCCGAGATGATCATGTGGCCAGGAGCCTGTATCCAAGGCTCACCATCAACCTGCACAGGTGTGGCCTTGAGCAGGGTGACCCGGAAGTAGGCGCCCTGGGCGATGCGGATGCCGGAACGCAGCCCGCCCTGGACCTGGCCCTGGTCAGGGGAGGGTGGGGAGCTCAGCAGACAGTGGCATCTCACTGGGCCTGCCCACCGGCAGCCCACCCACCCACCCACACTCACCATGTGCATGACGCCTGTCACCCCCACCACCTCCAACAGCCCATCGTCCATCCGTGGTTTCTCAAACCTGGAGTCGCTGTCCGGACCCCACAGGTCGGCCCCCGAGCCCCAGCTGTGCCAAAGGAGGGGTGCACAGGTGAGAGTGCAGGCTGCACGGGCCCAGGTCCCACCCAGGCTGGAGCCCCTGAGAGCCCCACCCACGGCACCTGGGGATGTTGATGAAGATGAGGCCCTCGATGCTGGGCAGCTCCACCTCCCGCTGCTCCACCTGCAGCTGGATCTCCCTGTGCAGGCTGCGGGAGTGGCTCATCTTCTGCAGCCCGACCCGCACGTACACACCCTTGTTGTGGAACCTGCGGCGGGAGGGCATGCCAGCCTGTTGCAGCCCCGGGGCCAGCCCCTCCACACCCATCCCGGCTGGGAGTCTCCGGCAAGTGCACAGTCGAGGGGCGGCGGGCAGCTCCTCTCTGCCTGGAGCAGCACCCACTCCGGACCTGCTCGTGAACTTGCTGGGCTCCTCCTCTCGGGCCTGATGGAAGTCCAGGCTCAGCTCTGCATCGATGCCAATCCCACAGTAGTTGCTCATCTGCACGATCTGGGGACAAGACAAATTCTCCCGTGGCCAGGTCAGCCCCAAGCAGGCACTGCTGCCCCCCAGCTGGGCCCAGTGACAGCAGCACTGGGAAGGTGGCGCGGCAGGTGGTGCAGGCCAGGCCCTGCCAGCCAGCCCTGAGCTGCCGCAACCGCTGCTCTGTGCCTCGACTTCCCAGGGGGAAAAAATGGGGTCACCACAGGCCCCACAGCTGCCGCACCCTTCCCCAGACACACCATACCTTTGGGGGCTCCAGGTCGGCCACACTGTTCTCTGCGCCGTTGGCCTCATGAGCATCCAGCAAGATGGTCCAGCGGTCCACAAGGACGGTGTCGGCCTCGTCCACTGACACCAGCACCGAGAACAGGTCTTCCCCACTGTAGCCTGCGCCCCAGCGGAGGACGCGACCCAGGTCGTTCCCTGGGGCAGGGAGACTCCGGTAATTTGGTAACTCAGGTAACCCCACACCCACCGCCCCACCCCAGGCCTCCACAGAAACCTGGGGCGGGAAGAGATGAACCCACAGGCCCTGCCTCCCAACCCACAGGCCCTGCCTCCCGACCCACTGGCTGACCCCACCTGTGCCCAGGGGCAGGATGGCCACAGGAGGCTCCCGGCAGGCCAGACGGTGCCGCGTCTCCTCCAGGGCAGAAAGCACCCAGCCCACGGTGCCGTCCCCACCACACACCAGCACCCGGAAGTGGGGCACCTGGGAGAACACGTGGAGCCTGGCGATGGGAGACAGGAGCCGTCTGCCACCAGCCTCAGCATCGCAGGCAAGTGGGGGCAGGAGGTCAGAGCCCAGCAGCGTAACGGGCCCCAGCTCATCCCCCACCCAAGGCCCTTGCAGTTCCAACTGCGAACCCCGCCCGGTCCCCACCAGCCCAGCCTCAGGTGTGACAGCCCCCAGGGGCCTGCCAGGCTGCAAGCCCTGGGGCAGGGCTCCCACCAGACTCACCCAGGAAGAGGACCCCCATTGGTCAGCTCAAAAACCTGGTGAGGGTTCAGCAGCTTCCGGAAACTGCAGAGCAAGTCACGGCCCCTGAGGCCTCCACTCTTGGGGTTCACAAACACGAGGAGGGGGCAGCAGTCTGGGGGTAGCTTCGTGTGCTGACAGACAGGGGCTGAGTTATGGCAGGTGTCCCCCACACCACACTGCCAGGGCAGTGACTGCCCCCAACCCAGAGCCCCCCTGGCCCGAGCCAAGCTAGGGCCGCCCCTCCCTGAGGGAGGCACACACCAGGCCGAGGGGGCCACAGGGCATTCCCAGTTTACCAGACTGCTAGGGACACCCCCAAGGCACAGGGGGTACCCACAGGTCTCTGGCCAATGGGGCCAAAATGAGGCCGCCAGCCTGGGGCTCCAGGCACGCAGGCCGTGGCTAACTGCAGACACACGTCCCTGAGACCGTGGCCGCCACCTGGTCCACGTGCCACAAGCACCCAGAGGCCACCCGGTGCACAGCCCAGGACGCAGCTCCCAGGGCCACGCCCCCCACGTGGCAGCCAGGAGGCTGGTTCACGGGGAGTCCACATGTGCTCCTGCAGCTCAGGATGAAGCCGCCCGCAGTCCTCCAAACAGTGCCCAGGACCCAGTGGACAGAAGGCTGGGGTGTCCACAGGCAAGAAGCAGGAGAGGCTGAGGTCCGTACAGTGAGGTGGCTGGTTGGCAGGAGACATACAGGCTGGACGCAGGCCAGGGGCACGCTGGGGTGACACGTGGCCTGCCAGGCAGGGCTGCCCGAGGCACCACTCACCTGCCGGCACTGCCGTCAGCTCTGCCCCTGGGGGCCCTGACACTGCAGGCCGCACCTGCTGGCTGGCTGCCCTGCCCTGGGCTGGCTGGGGGTGGGGAGGGGAGGTGGGGACCTGCAGGCACCGCGACCCGTCACAAACCCTGAGCTCACGGGCTTGGGGCCAGGGGCAGAGCAGCCATGGACACCAGGAGCTCTGGGGGCCACAGGATGAGGGCCATAGGCTCTGGGAAGGCACAGGGCACCAAGTGGGGGCAAAGGGCGTGGCCCCTCACCCCAGAGCAGGAGCAGATACTGCACCAGGGACCCCTGCTCCAGGCAGTGCTGGGTCTGCAGGGCAGTGTCTGGTCAGAGACCTCCACCTACTGGCCCAAGCAGCCACGGTTGCAAGCAGGGGTCCCAGGGTCTGCTAGGCAGGGAGGGGGTGAGGCCCTGCCCAGTGACCCCAGAGAGGATGAGGCTGTGGGGGGTCCTCGTGGTCTATGCAGGCCTCCCACGTGTGTGAAGTAGGCCTGTGCTGCCACCCCCCGAGTGTGAGACAAAACCAGCTGTGGAGGCCATGCCCCCCAATCCCAGCTCCCACTCACCAGCACGTCCGGGAGCACCAGGGCAGTCAGCGGCTGGCTGTGCACAGCCGTGTCTTTGACCAGCATGTACAGCCGTTCGGCCTCCGTGAAGCAGGCCACATCCAGCACTGCAGCACCTGTGGCGGGTGGGCCGTGAGCACCAGCCACCCAGAGGCGTCTGCACAGCCCCACCCCGGGGGGGCCCTTCATGGATGGCTGGACATCACCGAGATGGGACCAGTGGGTGGACACCAGCAAGGCCACTAGGACGCAGGATGGAGCAGCGGGGTACGTGCTCACTCCTCGGCCTGCCGAGCCCTGGGGACCCACGGGGGATGAACCCACAGGAACAAAGGGCTGGGAACTGCTGAGGACCCACAGAGGGGACCTGGGCTCGGGGCACTGTTCTCCCATTTCTGGTAGGCGTCGGGTTTTCAGTGAGAAGGGTGTGAACCTGGCCTCAGTCCTGGTTCAGCCAGGAAACAAAATGCGTCTCCCTCACAGGTGGTCCCCGGGAGGAGAGAGGGGGGTCGGGTGTGAGGGCAGGGCTATCCATCCAACTGTCCAGCCGCCCTGACCGAAAGGGGTGCGGCTCACCTTGGGAGGCATAGACATGGCTCACAGACACCAGGCCAGCTGCAAAGACAGGCTGCAGTCGGGGGGTAGGAAAGAGCAGAGGCCGAGGGGCCCCCAAGGCCCCCAGGCCACTGCTCCCACCCCTGCTCGGCGTCCCCAGCCACTCTGCTCAGGGGAAACTCCGTACCAAACGGCAGGGCCAGTGACCTCAGGAAAGGGCACCCCCAACTCCAGGTGGGCAGCAGGCTCCCCACCCTGCCCCCCGGGGTCCAGGGAAGAGAAGACAGAGACTGGCCCTGAGGGGGCTTAGCAGCCCCTCAGAGGAGGGGCCCCTGCCTGGGCCCCAGAGGTGTGGAGAGACTCGCTGGGTGGGTCGCCAGCTGGGTAAGGGCTGTGACTCGGAGGGGGCGTTGGAGGCCCAGCCGCGTCCAGCGGCCCCTACAGCCTGTCTCAGGACCCCTGCCCTGTCCCCAGTGGCCAGTAGCCCTGGGCCAGCCCAAGTGGTCACACCTTTAGTGGCCACAGCCTCATCCAGCAGACTGCTATACTCCCGCAGGCACAGGCCAGGAGGCAGGCCACCAACGAACAGGGAGACTCGGGGGGCCACAGGCCTGCTCTCAGCCAGGTAGAAGCGGGTCTGACTCATCTGCCGCAGGGATGTCTGTGGGAGGGGGAGGGTCAGTGCTGAGCAGAACACAGCCCAGTGGGGTGTCAGGCCCCTGGGAGGGTCCCTAGGCTGAGCCACACCAGAGAGAAGCAGACAGGATAAAAGACACAAGCTTCCTCCCTGCACCCCTCAGGGGCTCTGGGGTCTGAAGCCCCAAACCCAGCTTTCCAGGAGCAGGTGACCAGTTAGGACGCAGACGGACCTGCCAGGCCCCGGAGGAGGCACTTCTGTCCAGGACAGCCAGCTGCCCCCCCACGTGGCCATGGGGTCCCTCTCTATGAGGTAGAAGCCATAGCCAAAGGCCAGCCGTGCCCAGGGGCCACACCCACTGACCTGCCGGATGTCACGGAGCCGGTGGAGCAAAAGCTCTTCGTCAGCCAGTACCGTCCGCTGCACTACGGGGTGGGGGGCATGGCTGTCAGCACTGCACGGCACCCAAGCCTGCAGACGGCCGCCCTCACGCCCCAGGGCGCAAGGAACAGGCTGCTTAGGGCATGGGCTGCCGGCCACCCTCTCACCTTGCCTGCTGCCCATGAGGACCTCCACCAGCTGGAAGCTCTCAGGACCCTCGGCCTGTGGGGACAGAGGTTGGGGTATCAGGCTGGGACCAGCCGCCACCTCCCCAGGACACCCAGGTGGGGCATCCACACCCAGCCGGGGCGGCTGCTTGGCCCGCTGGGAGGCCAGGACTGGCAGGCCCAGGGTACACACCTGACGCCCGAGCAGCGGGAGGGCCTCCAGCACCACAGTCCGGGCAGTGCTGTCTGCAGTCAAGCGAATGGACACGTAGGCCACACCCACCCTGCAGGGGACACGCTCTGGAGCTCTGGCCAAAACCCCCAACCCTCCCGGCAGGCCCTGCGCCCACGGCCTGGGTCTCACTTGAGCCAGGCAGGGTAGACCTTCAGGACGTCCTGGGTGCGGGGCAGGGCGCGGATGATCCGGGCCTCGGCCACAGGAACACTCTCTGGGGGCCCGGGGCCCCTGCTGCCCTCCTCCTCCAAAGCCCCGCCACTCTGGGCCTGGCCCCTGGCCGCGGGGTCGCCAGCCCGCAGTGCTGTGGGGAGCGCCTGCAGCTCAAAGTCGCCGGGGTCCTCCGTGATGTAGTAGGCTCGCAGGGCTGCCTCCTGCGGGGTGCGGTCTGGGGTAGAAGGGCTGCCCACTGGGGCGCCCAGCCGCAGCCCGGGGGTGGGGGGAACTCACCAGCACCTCCTGGCTCCCGGCCTGGCGCGGAACGCTGATGACGCGGAAGTGGCCCCGGTGCACAGCGTCGCTGCCGTCGAAGATCCTCAGCGTCTGCTTGTCTGGCCCTGGGGGGAGGGGCGTGAACCTGCGGGATGGGGTGAAGGGGTGGGGGCCGGGGCCGGGGCGGGAAGGGGTCGGGGACTGGGCACATACTGGACTCCTGCGGCGGCACCTCTCTGCCCGGGCAGGCATGAGCGCTTCCGTCTGCAGCGGGGTCCCCCTCGCCTGTGGGATGCGCACAGAGGGCCTCTCGCTCCCGCCCCACCCACCCAGGCCCCGCCCACCGCCCGCGACGGTCCCGCCCGTGCTCACCGGGCTCCGGGACCGCACTCTCGGAGATGCGGAAGCAGTGCATCTTGCTGAAGTTGCGGGACAGCAGGCGCACGCAGGCCGGGGGCAGGACCATGGTGCGCAGGCGCCCGAACGAGCACTCGGGGGCGAGCGCCGCGGAGCAGACTGCGTGGACCTTGGTGCAGGGGACCGGGAGCATAGCCTTGAGCCTGAGGCGGACGGGCAGGTCCAGGCCAGACCTCCGGGATCCGCAGGACAGACGGCTCCCGCAGGGCCTCGCCCAGAGGGAGCCCCGACTCGCAAATCGGGGTCCCCACCCCCAAGTTAAGAACCCACAGAAAGGAGGCGCCCGTGCCCCGCCCCGCCGCACCTGGACGCCGCACCACTCGCAGCGCAGACCAGCCAGCACGTCGGAGGAGCCGCATGTCCTCCTGCAGACCTCGCAGCGCGCGCCTGAGGGCAGGTTCCCCTCCCGCCAGTGGTGGTAGTGCGTGTCCTGCAGGGGGGCCGGGGCCGTCAGTGGGCTCCATCCGCCCCGCCGCCACCCCCCCCACCCGGGTCTGCGACTCCAGCCACTCACGTGGTCCCGGTGCCCATCCTGGTGGCACTGGCGGCAGTCGCTGCAGGCGAAGGGCACGCAGTCGGGGTGAAGGTGCAGCTCACACACTGGGGGGTGGGCAGCAGTAGGGGTTTCTCGCCGCTCCCCAGGGGCCCTGCCCACCTCCCCGAGCTGTCTTTTAGCTTCCTGAGCCTGAACTGCAGCTCAGGGACAGCCCCCTACCTCTGGTGGGGGGAGCCCGCCCACCTCAATGTGTGGCCGGCAGCCAGACCCCGCTGACCGGCCTGGGCAGCTCTAGAACCCAGGACACCCCACTGGGCTGCCTTGGGTAGCAGGGGCCGGGCCACTGCGTCCGTGGTACCTTCACAGCGGAGCGCAGGGGCCTCCAGGCTCTTGCGGCACACGGCGCAGAACTTGCGCTTGTAAACCCCCCGGGGGCCAAAGCAATGGGCCACAGGGACCTGGAAGGGGCAGAACACAGCCTCGGCCTGGGGCCCACTGCCAGCCCACACCCCACACACCCCTCCCAACCTGCACCATCCTCCTGACCACTGCTGTTCTCCCGGACCCTCCTGAGCACTGCTCACACAGCGCTGGGAGGGGTCCTCTGGGGCTGCCCTGCACTGCCACGGCCCCACCGGCCCCACTCTGCGTACAGCCAGAGCTGCCCTGGGCCTCTCGTGGTGACCCCACAAAGCCCCTGCCACAGGGGGTGGGGGACACTCCTGCTGGTCCTTCCCCCCAGCTGCACTGCCCAGAAAGCGCTGGCACTGACCACTTCCCAGTTCAGTCTCCCTGTGGTGCATGTGGGCAACCTGAAGGGAACACAGGTGGAGGAGGGCCAGCCCTTGGGCAGGGGTGGGGGCGGTACTGGGGACCACGGACAGGTGAGAAGCAGCAGGAAGTGAGGGGTGGCTGCTGCTCTGGGGAGGCTTGTAGGCAGGGACGCAGCCGTCGAAGCTCGGGAACCCGCCCAGCACAAAGAAACACTCCCACCCCTGGCCCCCAGACTGGCCCCACTGCCCACCCCATCCAACCTGAGGCCTGAGCACCAGCTCCAGCTGTGCCAGCCAGAGCCCCTCCCCATCCCTCCACCCACTGGGCACGCTCAGTGCCCGCACTCCATACGCACTCGGACCAGGCTGGGCGCCACGCTGGTGCAGGGGGTCTTCACAAGCTTCAGGCACTTCTCATGGGACATGAAGTTGCAGACTGCGGGAACAGAGCCGTGGGAGTTGGCCTCTGTCCTGCCCGGGAATCTAGAGGCCCCAGGAATGGCACACAGATGGGAGGCCTCAGCCAGCAGGCCCACGGAGGGCCGTGGCAGGACAGCAGCATCCTGACAGGGCGGAGTCCCTGTCACAGTGGGCGTACTCTGCCACTGCTGTGGCCACCCCCTGCAGGGCAAGTCACTGCCGGCTCCCAGCCCGCCCCACCGTGGGAGTGACGGGGAGCATGGTTCCCACCACCCACGGGCATGGCCAGCGTGGCAGCTACAGGATGCAGCAGCAACAGCCTCCCCCGACCTTCTCAGAAGCGCCAAGAAACACCCCGACCCTCTGCCCCACCCCACCCCTCATCCGGAGAGAGAGCCCAGAGCGTGAGTGGAGCAGGGGTCTGATGGCGGTGACCATACTGGGTGACGTATCCAGTGCCCGGAGAGTGGCCCCTGCTCCTAGGCTTAGCTCTCCTTCCAGTCTCTAAGAGGGGCGGGCAGGTGGGTGGGCACCTGGGCACACCCCCCAGACTGGCTCTGCCAGGGACATCCGCCCCGCCGCCCTCACAGCTGCATGGACCCTCGATTAGGCCTCGCACACGCCATGTCTGCAGGGACCCACAGCCAGTCTGTGCTGGGCTGGGACCCCACTGAGAATGGTGGGATGAGCACCCCTGCCCCTGTCTGGGTTGGGCAGGCCAGAGGCCCTGAAGGCGGTGAGCACTCAGAACACTGTTCTGAGACCCACCTAAGAAGGGGCACACCCACTGGTCCTGGGGGGGCCCAACAGGACTCAGGCTCAGCTGGGAGATGGACTCAAAGATGGACAGTACAGCGGAGGCCAGAGCGGCCTCCAGCAGCAAGTGCAGCAGGGCAAATCCGTGAGGATGGGGGCCTGGGGTGGGGTGAGCTGGACCAGGCTGCAGGGGCCTGGGTGGTGGGCAGGCAGCAGCGGGATGACTCTCCAACACAGCCTTGGGTGAGACTGCCCACGGGGCTTCGAGGCAGCTCCATCCCAGCCTGGCGAGAGCAGCCCCGAGGCCTGTCTTCTCAGAAAACTCCAGAAGCAGTCTGGGCTTGGGCAGGAGAAGTGTGGAGACACAGAGGCCAGGGGGGAGCCCCATCAGCTTCCCCTCCCGACAGCCAGGCTGGCTCTGCCACAGAAGACAGCGGCTGCGGGCAGGCGGTGCCAAGCTTCCCCTCTGGCTCAGAAAGATAGAGTGCTGTGACCGCACACCACGCATCCTGGGCGCTCCTGCCGGGAAGGGGCTCTTCCTCCACACCCTTATCAGGCTCCTCTGCTTGCAGAGGTCACCAGCCCCTTCTCCACGGAGGGGGAGGAGATGCCCACAGCTGCCCAGAGGAGGCCGCCATGTCATCCCCACACCCAGTCTCTCTCCTGAGAGGGTGGGCCATCTCTCTGAGCTGCTGGGCCCTTCACACCCAGAGCCCTGCCTTCACCAGCTCTTACCCGAGTGGGGGCCCTGGGTCGAGCCTCAGACCTGGGGCTGGCTCAGCCTGTATCAGCAAGTCTCCCACCATAGGGGAGCCTCCTGGCCTTCCAGGGGCGAGGCAGGCAGTACAGTGTTTCCCAAGTGACAGAAAAGCCAGGGCAACCGCCCCCACAGCAGCCTCACAGAGTAGGCATCCTGTGTGATGGGCCCCGACTTCTCCCCACCCAGACTGAACCAAGTCTCTGCAGACCTCTGCCTGAGTTGTGCCTCTGTCCCCATGGCCAACGGCCTGCCTCCCTGAGCAAGGCAAGGGCTCCCCACCCCGTCACCCTCAATGTCCCTGGGCAGCAGATGGGGTCCCCAGGCCTGGCCACCTGCCCTGAGGAAGGGCACAGGACTAGATGAGAGCAGACCCTGAAGCACACACCCTGGCTGCCCAGGAGCCAGAGGAGGGAGGGCCGTTTTGCCCAGCTGGCAGTTTGGCAGCTGGATGGGAGCCCTGTTGGGGCATGTCGTACTGGGGGCAGCAGGCCCCAGAGCCGGCTGTCCGGGAGCCTGAGACTGAGCAGAACGAACACCAGGCCCCAGTGGGCAGCAGAGTGCACGCACCTGAACGAGAATGGACTGGCACCAGGGCACGGAGGCCAGCCGGCCAGACCAACCCTGCCTGGGGGAGTTGGCCTGCTCAGGGTGGGCTGGCTTCACCCCCCAGTCACTGCACCTGTCCCCTGGCTCATCCTGCCTGGCGCAAGGGGTTGGGGGCCACGCTCTCCCCACATTGGATTCTGACCCAGGCGAGGAAGCCCAGGAAGTCCTGAGGAGGGGACGCCGGCACCGGACACCCCGAACCCCGGACACGGCTAGTCCTCATCACTTCCTTGGGAAGGCTCGTCCCGCCCGGTGGGAAGGCCAATGCTGGGCCAGAGCGCAGAGGCCAAAGGTGAGGTGCTCGTTTGGGGCCAGGGACTGTGGTCTGCGATGGGGTTCGCGGGCGCTCACCGTCGCACAGGAAGCCAGCCAGCCCCCAGATGAAATCGGAGCAGAGATGGCAGTAGGTGGGCTTGGTGAGCGTCACCTTCCGGAAGGTGTGGCCCGATGCAGCGGGGCCCGGGGTCCTGGCGCCCGCTCGCTCCGGCCCCGACCCCGGCCCGGACCTCGGCCCCTGCCGCGCGCGGCCTCTGCTGTCCAGATCGGGGCTAGAAGCCGGGCTGCTAGTGCGCGGCGAGCCGCCGCCGAGCCAGGCGCGGGGCCCGGGCTCGGCCGCCGCCGCCATACTCTGCCCGGGCAGCCCGGGCCCCGGCGGCTGACGTGAGCTGGGTACGCGCTATGGGAAGAGGCGGTGGTCCCGGGTCTCCCCCGCCGTCCGCGCCGTGCTTCCGACAGCGCCCGCCGCCACTGCGCAGGCGCGCATCCTGGACCCTGCCTGGCCCGGCGGCGGAGCTGGGCCGGCCCAGAATGCTGAATGGGGTGCGGCCTCTTGGGCGGGGCCTGAGGGAGAGGGGCGGGCAGAAGATAGGCCCGGGGACGGGGCTTAGGGAGTCACGGCCTACCGGTGTAGGCCAGAGGGGAGGGGCTAGGTTGGAGGCGGGGCCCGAGGAGGGAGGCGGGGCGGGCCTGCGGAGCTGAGGTCCTATCCAGGGTCCCAAAGGAGCTGTGTGGGGCGACCTGGCTTGCAGAAGTGGGTTCCGGTGGCAGCAGGCCACCGGCTTGATCCCGGAGCCGGGACTCAGCTCTCTGCTCGCGGCTTCCCGACACCGACGCCAGGCGTTTGCACCTGCGGCCTCCAGGCGCGCGCCTGAGCAGACCAACTGCTCTTACGCGGTCCAGGGATCCATCCTTTGGCTCCCGGTTGTACCGGGCGACCTAGCGCGCGCGAGGCACAGCCTGCGCTCCCAGAGTTGGCTCGCGGTCAGGCTGCCGTCCACTGTGGAGGAGGGCCATGGCGACGGTCCTGGGTTATGCGGGACTTGGGGGTCTTCGGACGCCCCGCCCCTGTCCTCACCACAAACTGGGACTGAAGCTCCGGGCCTGCGGCAGCCAGGACTGCCACGCTTGTTCGCGGCGAAATGCCCCCTCCCATCAGTTCTCCCTTTGGAAGCCCGAGGGGCCGGCCTCGCTCCCTCTGCGCTCTGGCCTCGCGTTCCTGTCCCAGCAATCCTGGACTTCTTCCCGGCATGAAACCCCACCGCATCAAGCTCCCAGGCCGGCATTGAACCCTACCCGCCCCGGCCTTGCCAGCGGGGCACCCGAGCATGCACAGCACTATTTTGTCCGGGCCCCTGTTCCTGTGAGCCTGACCGTGGAATGCAGTGTCCGTGGCCACGGTGGGCATGGTGGGCAGAGGGGCTTGCTGGGGACCCATCTGGTTCCTGCCGAGTCATGGGCTGCCCCTCCAACCAGGTCCCCACCTCAGCACTGCGACCATGAGCTGCAGGGCCTTGGAGAAGCTGGCTCCTGTGGGTGCTGGAAAGGGTGGGGTCCCAGAAGAGAAAAACGAGGATGCTGTGACCCAGTCCCCAGCTCTAAGCTCAGCCCCCTCCCCCTCCTCCCCCTTCACCGAACCTTGAGTGGGATGGCTGTGAGCTGCTGGGTCTGCTCCTCTCCACCTGCGTCCTCAGCACCACCCACCCTCTGAACCTGCCCTCCGTCAGGTCACGGGTGATGCTGCACTTAACACACGTTTGTCCATGGACACAGCTTGGCCAGCAGCACTATCTCAGCCAAAATGAGCTGCTGGACACATGGACTGTCTGAAAGGCTCAGCCCAGCCTCCCTGTACTGGGTGACCCAGCACCAGGCTTGGGGACTGTCATAAGCAGTGGGATCACCAAGAAAAGCACAAAAATGCAGAAAATGTGGCACTAAATAGATGGCAAGAAGGGCACCTGTTTCCAGTCTGAGCTGAGACAGGCCAATGTCACCTTGATCCACTCAGGGGACATACATGGTGGGTTTTTCAAGGGGCTGCGATGTCCCCAAGGGTCTGCTGTGGGGTAACAAATAGACCTGGGTGAGTAGATGGATTCACAAGCGCGGGATCTAGGAGCTTGGTGGACCAACTGCCCCTGCAGCGCGGAGGCGCCCCCTCCAACGGGCGGTCACCATTCAGTGGGGTTTCTGGCGAACAGGGCCTCTTCACTGGCCTCCCTCCCGTGTCCTCGGGCCACAAAGAGGCCCGTTCGTGGAAAACTTGTTTGCCTTTGGATACTTTTTTTCATCTTCACTTTGTATCAAGAGAAAAAAGCACAAAATAAGAAATACATTTCATGTTGTCTCTTTTTACAATGATTTCATAATATCATTTTTCAGGGAGAAAAGAGAAAGATCATTGAGCCCCACTGACCCAGCCGATTGGAAAATCAATCAAGATGCCTGTTTGCAGAGGCTCCCTCTGCGCTGCTCATCCCCGGCTCTGCCACACCCACCATTAGGACTGCTGTCTCGTTAGGAGAGAATGCTGGCCAGTCTTCCACTGGCCAGCTGGAAAGTGCTGGGTGCACTTTCCCGTGCTGTGCTAATCTAAGACGCCCCTACTGATCGGATGGCCTTCTTCCACCGTGTGCTTGTCACATGGCTGTGAGGTTCCAGGTTGTCTTGTCAGTGCCATCCGGTCAAGTCAGCAGCATCCAGCACTTTGTGTGACTCGCTCCTCTTGGTTAATTGCCATGCATGCCCCTGGATGAACTGGCATGTCTGGCATTAACTTCTCGATGTAGACAAGTAACCGCAGGCAATGTAAATACACCCGGCTAACCCCAGTGTTTCCACGACTGGACTTCCCCTTGGCCAGATCCCGAAAGTGTCGTCACCTCCCCAGTGCCCCCCAGCAAGAGGGGAAGTGGGACAGAGGCAACCCAGGACAGTGTGGAGACGTCCAGGGTCACCATATCTTAGTTTAGCAAAGTTTACAGAACCACGTGACCCCATGGTGAAGGCCCTTTGTGAATGCCACCATGTGGGTCTGCTGTGTCCCCCAGGCACCCAGTGCCATGCTGTCTCCCTGCTCTGGCCTCGGGGCCTGTCCAGGACAGCACACACCCTCTATGTTCCAGGTGTGGGCAGGGCCAGGTCCCCCAGAAGCCGAGTGCAGGCCTTGTCTGGCCCCCTGCAGTCCTGCACAGGGCCTGCCCCAGCATCAGAGCAGCAGCAAGGCGTCTGTGTTCTCGAGTCTTGGCCCAGGATTTGTTCTAATGAATCTGGTCAGGTGTGGTGAGGTGACAGGGACCACGACACCTGCCTCTGAAGGAACAACTGGTCGCTTACATGTCCCAGCAGAAGGAGGTGCCACGGACCACAGGGGCGTGTGGCGAAGCCCCAGTCTGGGCCAGGAGGCAGAGCAGGAGCCAGGAGAGTGTGGCCCCAGCCCCGAGGGGGGCCCTCTCGGGGGTGAGCACACTCAGCAGCCTGGCCTGCAGGGACGGCTCCCTCCCTGTCCAGCATCTGGCTTGGTGTCCGAGGGTGAGGTGGAGAGCTGGTGGAGTGGGCGCTGGGTGGCTCTCTTTGCCATCGCTGGTGCTCAGGGCCAGGGGGCAGGCCCGGGAGGGGCAGTGTCTCCCAGACCAAGGCCCCAAGAGTCACAAAGACAGAATAAGCAGTTGCAGTCAGCACAGTCAGGGGCAGACAGACAGATGGGGGGTGGGGGACGGAGGAAAATGGTGTCACCTGTCTAGAGACACAAGCCAGGCTTTAAGAGAAAAAACAACACTTTGTTGACAAGAGGAGCGAGGGGGAAAGACACGCTGCTGTGCACAGGCCTGTCCCGGGGAGAGGCGCTGCCCGTTTCCCGGGGGCCGTGGGCATGGATGCCCCCTTCACAACAGCCAGTTCTGCGCTGCTGTCTGGCTCTGCTGACCAGGACAAACCCCCACCACAAACATCAGAGCCACCTCCAAGTGTGTCTGCCGAGGCCAGCACCCCTCAGCCTCCCCCTCACAGACATCTAGAGCCACTCGGAGGATAATCCAGGATGATCTTCCAGTCTCAAGATCCTTAACTTACTCACACCTGCAAAGTCCCTTCACCAGCTAAGGTCAGACTCACAGGTCTTGGCTGTGGCCCGTGGGTCACACTCCATCCCCTCCCCTCAACTTCCACGCCATTGTCATACGTTTTAGTTCCCCGGATGTACTGTAAGTTCACGCGACATCATTGTTATTGGTTTCCAAGTCTCTCCTCCCCAGACTTTCTCTCGTGCCCCCTTCCCTCCGGCCCCCAGGCTGTGGCAGTCAGTGGCCCCCGAAAAGACACTGTTCACTATTTCCTTTGTGACAAGTGTTCTCAGAGTTTGTTTCTCTGAAGGTCTTCTGGACCTCCGTTTGTGAAAGCTCACTTTCTGCCGGATTTAGAATTCCAGGTTTGCAGTCATTTTCCCGCAGGACGTTGAGGTCAGCCGCCACTGCTGCGTGGGGGTGGGGGTGGGGGGGTGGCCGGCCTTCCGGGCAGCTGGTCTCCGAGCTTCACCACCACTTCCTGGTTCTGCTGCTGGTCCCTACTTCTTGGAATACTGTTGTGTCACCAACCTGAAGGACAGGACGCTAGCTGACTGCAGAGTGGGGCCCTGCGCCTGGGAGGGGCCATGCAGGGCCAGGATGGACGTTGAGTGGATTGAGGCTGTATGATCTACCGGCCAGGAATTCAGTTTCAAGTGTAAACATTCACACCGGAGGGGCCCCTCCGCTCATACCCAGCTCAGGCCACCCACTGCCTACTAGAAACACACACTTGGCTTCTCAGAGGCGGCTGGTCCCCAGCCACCCTGCGTCTTTACAACAGCCCTACTTTAGGAAAATGCGCCTCTCCCAAAACGCGGGTGTCACCTTGGATTCTGCTCTTCTTCCCCCGCCCAACCCATCAGCTGATCTTAGTGCCCCGCGTGTGCCCACCTGTCCGCAGAGTCTGAGCCGGCCAGCGGCCGCCCGACCCGCTCATGGGTCCCCTCCCGATGCATCCACAGAACAGCGCTCACCCTAGTGCCGCCGACTGGAGGATCGGGTTTCTAAGGGTCCGCGAGCTGGCTCCCAGCGGCCGGGGTAAGAACTTCCCTGGAGAAGCAGGCTGCCTCGCCCACCTAAGCCCCACCCACGCCGGCCGCCTTGGCCCCGCCCATATCCTGACCCACGCCCACCTCCCCAGCCCTATTGGCTCACATCCCCAACCTGCCCACCTAAGCCCCGCCCAACCCCAACTTGCCTTGGCCCTAAGGATCCGCCCCTTGATGTCTATCTTGTGGCGCGCGACCCGGAGGCGGAACCGGCCGGAGTGGCGCAGATCTCGGCTCCTGGAGCGCAGCGGACCCCGAGGGCCTGCAGGGGCCGGGGTGTCCTCGCGCCGCGCCCAGCCATGCCTGCCCTGGCCGGGAGGCCCCCGGGGCCCAGGCCGGAGCTGCTTGTGCTCCTGGCTGCGCTGCTGGCCTCGTCCCCGGCGGCCCTGGCCGAGGAGGCCCCTCACCTGGTGCGCGTGGACGCGGCCCGCGTGCTGCGGCCCCTGCGGCCCTTCTGGAGAAGCACTGGCTTCTGGTGAGCGTCACGGGCGGGGAAACTGAGGCTGGAGAGGCCCATCTTCTTTCTATCCCGCCACGCGCTTCTCTTAAACCTGGACTTGCACCCCGCTTGCTGGTCTCTGGGACCCCCTTGTCCCGCGTGAAGAAACTCTTAGGCTCCTGAGCCCACAGCGCACAGTAGGTGCTGCTAGGTGAAGAAGACCATCCAAGACAGCTGGCTCTTTTCTCTGGAGTCCACCCTCAGTCAGAGTGGGGGTCTCAATGTCCCCCAGTTCCTGGGGTGGGGTGGAGGGGGTTCTAGCTGAGAGGGGACCGCATGTAGTGGAGGCCTGGTGCCAGGCTCTGAGTTTGCCTGGTGGTGGAGCCTGGTGATGGGAGGCAGCCCAGGCCCTGGAAGGGGCGGTGGCTCAAGACACTTCTTTCTGCAGCCCAGAGCCCTCCCAGGTGGCAGCCCCAGGGCTGTAGGACATCCCTGCAGTAGCACCTGCCCTGCACCTGCATGTCCTCACCCCTGTGTGTCCCCAACAACCTCTGTGTCAGGCTTTGGGCTCAGGCTTTGGGCAAGACAAGGAGCAGGGTGTGGATGTGGTCCTCTCTTCTGAGGAGCTCCCATCTCCCAAACCATGAGACTTCATAACATCTCTGGCCTCAGAGATCATTTTATCATGTCAAAGACAGTGACACGCACTGGCAGACACCCCCAGGCTGTGTGCTGGGGCCAGGCCCGAACCTCAAAAGTGCAGGGTGTTGGGTGAGGCTGCTCTGTGGGTGCCCCCTACAGGTACCCATACCCCCACGTCCTCCTTCTGTCCCCAGCCCCCCACTGCCACACAACCAGGCTGACCAGTATGACCTCAGCTGGGACCAGCAGCTCAACCTGGCCTACGTGGGCGCTGTCCCCCATGGTGGCATCGAGCAAGTCCGGACCCACTGGCTGCTAGAGCTCATCACGGCCAGGTGGGTGACAGAGCGGAGGCCATCTGGGCATGGCCAGGCAGAGCCCACTGTGTGGAGGTGGAATACGAGGTTGTGTCCACCACAGGGGGCAGTGGGGTGCAAGCCAGGGGGCAGTTCTGAGGAGCTGCACAGTTCCCAGCAAAGTGTCCTCTGGGGAAAGGACATCAGCCTCCCCCTACCCCAGCTCCTGGGGGTCATGGGTGCTAGGACAGCCCCAGGATCTGACACAGCCGGCTTCTTGCTGGAGGCCACCGCGGAGGCTCCGGGTAGGGCTGGTGCTCCTGCCCTGGCTCTGTGGCTGGACCCGGTTCTGCAGGCACCCTGTGCTGGGCTGTGCAGGGAGGCCACCCCAGGGCTGGGCGAGGCTGCGCTGGTCTCACTGCCATGTACCCTGCCAGGCCTGGCCCAGCCCAGGCACAAGGTGTAAGGGACACTTGGGTGTGTGTTGGGGGCTTGGAGAGACACAGAGCCCCTTATACCCTGGCCAGAGCTGGTTCCATGGGGGCTGCAGGTGTCAAGGGACCAGTGTGCTTTTGGCCCCATGACTTCCTCAGGGCCCTCATTCAAATACAGTGGTGACACTGAGTGTCAACCCGGCCCCCACGGCCACACGGACTCGCAGCACTGGCGTCCAGCTTCACACTGTGGTCGAGTTTGTTTCAAACGCTCCCTCGTTCCTCCAGGGAGGAGGTGGAACATATGGCCTCAGGAGAATCTACCTGGGTGACTGACGGTGTTAGGACTCGGAGGGAGTGGGGTCTGTCTGGGCTGTTGCTGCCCCCACTAGAGTGAGGAGTTAGAGGTCAGCAGTCCCCTGGGGCGGGCTTGGGCTGCCTGCACAGCACTGTGCACCGTGTGAAACAGCTGCCCCTCCTCCTCCTCCACATCCCCCCGGTCCTCCCTGAGGAAGCCCCCTCTCCTCAGGGCATCCCTCACTGAGGGGCTGCAGCAGGCCAGGAGCAGGGCGATGCCCAGGGCCCTGTAGTCTCTTCGCAGCTCTTGCAATGTGGCCAGGCCAGCCGCATCCAGGAACAGCAGCGGGGCGCAGTCGATGACCACTGCGTGGAAACCGGCGGCCTCGGGCACCAGAGCAGTGGTGTGGCTCACTGGGCCTCGGCCAGGGTCCTCAAGGGGCTCTCCCTGGACGACCCTGGCCTCGGGGCCCTGCTCCTTCCTCCTGGCAGCTGCACGCCCCACGTCCAGCCCTGTGAGGCTGTAGAGGGACCTCAGGAAGAAGTCCTTGTTGGCATAGTGGAGTGGCCCTGCAAAGCGGAACACCTGCACCCCGGGCTCGGGGACCAGGCCTTCAAACTCCATGAGGTCCTCATAGAAGCTGGAGCCCCCAATGCGGGCGAGCAGGGCAGCATGGGGGCGCTGTGTGCGGCTGATCAGGCTGAGCAGCGAGAGGAGCAGACCAGCCAGCAGCCCGGCCTCAGTGCTGACCAGCACGCAGGTGGCCGCCGTGGCCGCCCAGACCAGCGCGTCGGCCTGGCTGAGCCGCCACAGCTGTGGGAGATCTCTCACCTTGCGCAGGGCGCCCCGCAGGCTGACGACGATGACGCAGGCCAACACGCTCCGCTGCAGGTCCCGGAACAAGGGTGCCAGCGCTAGCAGCACCAGCAGCACCACCGCGGCACTGACCACGCTGGACAGCTGCGTGCGGCAGCCAGTGGCCGTCTTCACCAGACTCTTGGCCAGGGCAGCACTGGTGGCAAAGCAGTGGAAGAAAGCGGGCAGCACGTTGCAGCAGCCCACGGCCAGCAGCTCCTGGTCAGCTCGCACGGAGTAGCTGTGGCTACGGGCAAACATCTCTGCCAGCGAGATGGAGAAGGTGGAGCTCACGAGGGCCAGGGGCACAGCATCCAGTGCCACGCGCCACATCAGCCCCGGGTCCGGTGCCCGCGGGGCCATGAAGCCAGTGGGGATGTCACCGGCCACACTGGAGCCAAAGTGTGCATGGAGCTGCCCGAGGTGGGACACGAGTGTGGCCACCACGATGACCAGCAGTTCCGTGGGCAGCGGCACCTTCAGGCGGTGCTGGCAGCGGTCCGAGAGCTCCTTGGAGGCCAGCAGCACGGCCAGGCACACGGCACTCGTGAGCACGTCACACAGGTTGGCCTGCCCGGCATTGCGCAGCAGGCTCAGCCACGTGCGGACCACCACGCCCGGCCCCTGGTGCCGGGGGACCCGCACGCCCAGCAGGTGTTTCAGCTGGGAGGTCAGGATGGTCAGCGAGGCCCCCATGGCGAAGCCGTCGAGCAGCGGCTGTGAGAGGAAGGCAGACGCGAAGCCAAGCCGGAGGACGCCCAGGAGCACCTGTGGGCAGGGGGTTGTAGGGCGGTGGGCTGCGCACCTCAGCCGAGGGGGAGGTGGCAGTGCAGAGCCAGACTTGCCGTGGGGGGGCAGCTCTTTCTCCTGCCCTGTGCGTGGCACTGCCCCTCCCGGGGACGTGGAGCCAATGGGAAGGTGGCACGGGGCTGTGCTTGCCAGGCCTGCTCCAGGAGCGGGTGGAGGTAGGGAGGCAGAGAAGGCGGGCAGCCCACCCGGGACAGGTGGCCACGTGGGCCAGCCGGGCATGTCTGCAGCAGAGGCCACACCCAGCCACCAATTCCAGCCCAGGCTGCAGCTGGCCTGATGGGCTCTCTGGGCCCCCTCAGCTGCTCGAACACCCCATCTTGGGCACCATCTCCAGCCCACCTCTGTCCGCACCTTGCTCTGTCCTCCTCTTGTGTTTAAACCCTCGTCCTTCAAGGCCCCCACCCTGTGCTTCCACCAGAGCAAACACCCGAGGGGGCAGCTCCCAGCAGTTCGACAGGATCCCCAGTGCATCCAGCTCCTCACCTGGTAAATCCCGGCCACCAGAGTGAGGGCAGTGGCAACTCTGATGGCGTAGCAGTCACGTCCACAGTCCTGCAGCCCAAGGGCCGGCGTGGTAGCTGAAGCGTTGAGGGCGCTGCTGTTGTCCCCAGGCCCTGGGCCGTCCTGGGCAGGGTCGAAGCCGGCTAACAGGAGCTCACGGTCCACCACCTGCCCCACCATGAGGCAGAGCAGGCTGAAGATGCCCACAGAGACGTGGCGGGAGGTGCCCATAAGGAAGTAGATGAGGTTCGCGAAGAAAGATGTGTAGAGGCTGTAGATGGGCTGCAGCCCGGCCAGCAGCGAGTAGGCGATGGCCTGGGGCACCAGGATGATGCCGATGACCAGTCCGGACATGACATCCCCAGCCAGGTCCTCCCGTAGCCGGTACCTGCACAGCCAGTGTGTGGCGGGCAGCAGGTCCTGCACCAGCCCCCAGGCCCCCTGCCTGCTGCACTCACAGCTCCACCACAGCCTGGCCTTCAGCCTCTCACACCAGCCGGGGGGTGCTGGGGTACGCCGGCGGACCAGCACCGGTCCACCCCCCTGCTGCTCAGAGGACGCTTCCATCCTGGGGTGCCAGGCCCTGTGGGACAACCTGCCAAGGAGAAGTGGGTGTCGACACTGGGGCAGTGGGACCTTCGTCATCGAGACCGAGGTACACATGCAGCCAGCCCTCACCTCGTGCCCCCATCCAAACCGTCCTCTCTGAGTGACAGGCGATTCTCCTAGGTTTTGCTTCCAAACCCCAGGGGCACATTGCCCCCAGGGGAGCTGGACCGTGCCCCTGCCTGCCCTGTGTCTGCACTCAGCTCAGTGTCTCTTGGCCTGCCCTGCTCCCCAGCTAGCGCAGCCCACACTGTGGCTCTCAAAGCTCCCCTCGTGGCGCGGAGCCCGGTCACTCCGCTGCAGGTACCAGCCGCGCTGCACACTGGTGCTGGGCTGCGGAGGGCGGATGGTGCCGCTGGTCTGGTGGGAGGCGCGGGCTGGTGGCCCAGCCCCTGTGGGCTCAGACCTCCATGGGGCAAGTGAAAGCTGTTTCCTCCCCTGAAGACCTCACCTTACAGCGGTCCCCAGGGTCCAGGACTGTTTAAATGCCACCTGCCTTTTGCCTGCAGGTCCCCAGAAAGAGCCTGTCCTGCTCCTCCACCCAGCAGCTGGCCTCACTGTGGCCACATCCCCTAGAGCCATCACTGCCCTGCACAGCCTGGGGGGACTCTCACCTGAGGGAGCCACTCAAGGACGCTGTGGGTGGCCAGGGGCCCGGCCGTCTGTGCTCTGAGGCCAGGGTCCGCGGGCTGGCTGCACCCCTGGCCCTCTGGCTCCTGTCCGTAGGTGGGGGTGCAGGTGGCGGGCTCTGGGTCTGGTGCCCCTGGCAGGCAGTTCTCTGTAATTAACCTCTGACTGCATGGCCAGGCTGGGCTGGCGGTTAAATTATTTACCCCAAAGATTGCTGAGTCACCTGTCCCCCAGGCGAGTGCTACCTGAGTAGTTAATCTGGGGGGCTGTGCTGTGTTTGGAGGCTCACAAATAATTACATCGTGTGGCCTCTGATAAGTGCCCAGCCTCCTGGAACAGGGCAGCAGGTGCCGGACAAGTAGGTCATGCAGCAAGCGGCTGGGGCAGGGTGCTCGGGTCCTAGGGCCCTTGGGGGAGGCCTGGCCTGGCCCAGGGTGGACACAGGCAGCATGTGACCCTTCAGCTCTGGGGCCAAGTGGCCTGGCCTGTAGGACCCTGGAGGACAGGTATGGGCCAGAGGAGACCAAGGGAGGGGCTGGTTTTCTTGTCCCAACCTCGGACACCCTCCCTGTCCTGATGGGAGACAGGTTTGCCGGGCAGGGGCGTACCTGGATGGCCATGTTCTTAGCTTCTGCTCTCTGTCCTTCTGTGGACAAGACGCTGCATGCGTGTGTGTTTGGGGCCATCGAGGGACTGACTGGTCCTGACCTGGAGTGGGGCAGGAGGCCAGACCACCCGATTCCAGAGGGGTGCAGATCCCCTGTGCATGGCAGGGCCTGGCTCCCCTGCATCTCCATTCTCCCCCACGCAGAAGGGCCCGGCTGGCAGCGCCTGACATGATTCTCCTGGCGCCCCACACACGTGAACTGGCAGGCAGCTGTTTTCACAGTGATTATTCGGGACCTCAGTCCCCCATCTTTTAAATGAAGGAAAGGGTGAGCAGGGTCCACCTGTGGGGTGCCAAAGCCCCAAGTGCCCCCCATCCTGGAGGGGTGGTCCCTTGGGCGGCTGGAAGTCCACACTGGTCTGGGCTGCTGTCCCAGGAGGTCTTGGCCTTGGCTCCGTCCTGCTTCCCCTGCCCCCACGGGAGCTGCCAGGGGAATAAACATCAACCGTCTTGCGGATTTCCATTCCCCCGGGACAGGGGCAGGAGGTTAAGGGACTCCATTCAGGCCCCTCCACGCTCAGCCCCACTTTGGCGCCTGGGGAAGCCTGCCCGCAAGTCCAGCAGCAGTTGTGAACCCGGGGCCTGGCCAGGGGACCAGGAGCCCCATTTGGGGGCAAAGATGGGAGTGGGGGTGGGGGTGTTGACCGCCAGGGATGGCAGTGCAGGCTCCATCTCCAGCCTTGTCCTCGAAGAGTCTTTGGGCCCCCCAGGGCAGACCCTGGGAACCACGCAGCTCCCACCCAGGCTGGAGGTCTGAAGCAGGTGACAAAATACAACTGAGTTCCCAGCTGTCCTTTGAGAGCATTGCAGGACCCCTGGGACCTAATGCACTACTGCAGCCACAGACCCCCACCCTTCGCCTGCCTCTCTGTGGTGTATTCACCGCCGACCTGTGGTCTGGCAGGGCACGTGGGCAGGTGTCTGGGGTCCCGGGGGAGGATGCTGAGGCGCACCCGAGCCCCCGCAGGGAGCCCACCGGCCCCAGGGTTCTCCTACTCTACAGACAGCGGCCGGGGTCTCTGGGGCCTTCCACCTGCTGTCAGCCTTCTGCCCATTCCCTGCCACAGCCACACGGTTATTTAGTTAATATTTGTCTTTAAGTTGCGGCTTTGAATTGTTAAGTTCACTTATTTGGAAAGGAAATATTGTGTCCCTACAAATGAAAAAAGGCCGGCAGGCAGCCCACTTGGTCTCCAGGGCCCTTGAGGACCAGAGCCGAGTTTCTCGTGAAAGCCCCGTCACGGCGCGTGTGCCTGCGCTGGGGGCTCCAGGGAGAAGGCCGAGGCCGGGCAGACCCTCCTCCCGGGCTGGCGGCGGGGCGGACATTCTGCCACCCGCATCCCGGGACCGCTGAGCACGCTCTTCCCCGCCCCCACCTGCCCTGGGAGCCCCCGGCCTGGGTCTCCACCCCGCACGTGCCCCGCCCTGCGTTCCCTCCGGCGCGCGCCGGTGCGTCCCCACTGTCTAGGCGCGCGCGCGGCTGGTCCCCCACACCCCATGCGGTTGCACCCGGCACCCTCCCCGCATTCCACGGCGCGCCCGAGCACTCACTAGGCCGGGGCGTAGCTCGCTGCTCGCGGCGCACGCGCTCAGGCCCGGGTGAGGGGTCTGGTGCCGCCAACCGGCCGCGAGCGCGCGGTGAAGCCGCCTCGCTGCTGCCGCCGCCCCGCCCAGGTGCGAGAGCGACTCCTCGTGCCTGCGGTCCAGGTTCGACCCCCTGCAGGGCGACAAGATGGACGCGCCCTGGCGGGGTTGATCCAGGCTAGGGCTGCATTTGTGACCCAGGCTTCTCTGCCCGGGGAGCACTGAGGGGGCTGAGCACTTCTCCCTACCGCTCAGCACCCTGCCTGGAAGACACCATTTCCCTTCCTAACGGAGTGGAGGCGCCGAGAGCGGGGCCCAAGGACTGCTCCGGGGGTCCCAGCCCCCCCTCCTGATTCCCTGGCCCCTGGTTGCCGAGGCTGGCTGGGCCGGCGGACATTCAGGTTCACCCCGGCTGACAGACTGGGGGCGCCCCTGGCCCCAGACAAAGCAGGGACCAGCAGGGTCTGGAGAGCGCTGTGTACCTTCGCCATGGGTCACCACGGCGTGCGCCTGTCTGCCCCACCCCCACCTGTGGGACTTTGGAACCCATCATCCGCTCTCATTTAATTTTTACCCAAGTGCTCATTAAGTTTGATTTCTTTACTATCAGTTTCGACCTTTGGATGGAAGGGAGGGTGGGGGAGGGGAGGGCTGGATCCTGCTGGGTCCCAGAGCGGGAAGGCAGAGGGGCCAGCCAGGGCAGGGGGCGTGATGGGTGGACTTTCAGGGCTAGGCCCATGTTCTGCCTTGCCTGGGTACAGGGGTACAGTGAGGAGTGGGGGAGAGAAGAGCTGGAAGGGAGGTGCTGACCCGTCCAGATCCTCCGGGTTCAGGGGACAAAGCTGGGCTGGAGACTGACAGACCAGGGACTGTGGGGACCTGATCTGTGGTGACGCCACCTCGCCCCCATCCGCCGTCACGCGCGTGCACACACAACACTCCAGCTGCTCCCTGGCGGGCCCTCCTGCCTTTTCCCTCCCGCATCCTTGAGGGCCGCCCTCAGACCCCTGCTCACCTGGCAGGACCCCAGCCCACCCAGCCCCTCCAGTTCCCCTGCCCCACTGCCTAGCCCGGGCCTGATGGAGGACCACCCATCTCACCGCCGCCCACACCCCTACCTGCCAAGTGGCCTGAGCCACGGTCTGAGGGCTGTGCCCGGGCCCCACTTCCAGCTCACCCGCACCCATCAGCACGGGCTGTCTCCCCACTTCACACACCCATCTGCTCAGCCCCTCCTCATCCAGACACCCCATCTCTCCCTGGCGGACTGTCTTCTGGCTCCAATCAGCCACCAGAGGGACCCTTTCAAAACATCGTGGCAAAGACTGAGGACAATAAACAAAATGTGCTTGCCAGGGGCTGGGGTGCTGGGAAGGGTGGACAGGTGAGTACTGAGGCCAAGCCAGGTGACTTGATAGTGTAGACCCCTGTCGCCACAAGCCTTTCCAAACCACAGAAGGCTCACTGTCAGAGTGACCCCCCGGGACACAGCGCTCCGCCTGATAGGGACTTGTCAGCGTAGCTTCATCCATCATCACAAATGTCCCCCTCAGGCGGGGAGGCTGTGCAGGTGGGAGGGGAGAGGAAATCGGGGCCTGTCCCTCTCAGTGTTGCTGTAAACCCACAAATCCTACCAACGCGCACGCCCAGAGCACCGCGCTGGCTGCTCCGCTGGGATCTCCGGTAGGGCCCCCCCCCCATGAGTTGAGCCCCTCCTCCCTGTGGTCACAAGGCCCGTGTGACACCTCACGTGCACCCTCGTCCTGCCTTCCCAGCTCCCTGTCCTTGAGCCCCGTCTGCCTCAGGCCTCTGCACACACTGCCCTCCACCTCCGCTCTCCCCCAGCCGGCTGCCCGGCACTCCGGGGGCCCTGGATGCCACCTTGAGGAAGCCCGCCCTGCCCGGCCCTTTGCTCCCTGACACATCCCCTTCCTGCGCGTCTTGAGCTGAGCCATTGCCTGATGGTGCTCATCCCTCTCGGAGTGGTAGCCCCTAGGGACTGGCCGCAGTGTGGGACGTGCTGCCTTCTCCCTTCCCCGTCTGTCCGTGTTGCCTCCTGGAGTGTGTGTGGTGGGGTGGGGGGTGGGCAGCAACAGGGGCCCTGGCCTCCAGGGGCACAGAGAAGCAGGTCTCTCGGACTGCTGTCCCACAGCCCTGCTCCCGGTCAGCTCCCTGCAGGATGTGTGTTCTGCCTGCTCCACGCTGCGTGCGGGGCCTTTCCCAGCAGGCCTGCCCGCCCGGCCTGCTCCTGAGCCCCTGAGCCACTCGGGTGGGGGTTCCAGGACGGGCACTAGTTTGTTCCAGGCCGCGAGTGACAGGCTTCTGTGGCTGGCCTTTGCCAAGGGGAGGGGCCGGTGATTCTGGAGCTGAATCCTGGGTGGCACTTTGTGGACTCTGCCTGCTTGACCAGGGACACAGTTCCAGCCCAGGGCTGCCCCTTCCTGCTCTGACCTTTCCTGTCCTCCGCAGGAGGTCAGTGGGGCAGGGCCTCAGTTACAACTTCACCCACCTGGATGGCTACCTGGACCTTCTCAGGGAGAACCAGCTCCTCCCCGGTGAGTGGCGGCCCTGACCTCTGCCCAGCAGGTGCCCTCTCCCGGTGACCTGGCCCCTCTGGGTCGTCAGTGGCTGCTCGCCCGGGAATGGCCCGGCGCCAGTGTGGTGGGGCCTGGGGGTGGGGATCGTAGGACGTGTGCGGCATCAGGGCCACCCCTTGGTTGCAGGCTTTGAGCTGATGGGCAGCCCCTCTGGACACTTCACGGACTTTGAAGACAAGCAGCAGGTGTTTGAGTGGAGAGAGCTGGTCTCCCTCTTGGCCAGGAGATACATAGGTGGGCGAGGCTGGGACGAGGGGCGGCAGTGGTGTCCCTGGCTGGCTGCCCTCCTGCACGGGCCCAGCCACCTCACCGATCACAGGGGCGGGGTGCAAACTGGCGGGAATCAGCCCCCACATCTGAACAGCCCGGTGGGGGGGGGGCACTGCCCGGGAGTTGGGGTGGGCGTACCCCTGCAGCAGGGCGGGGCCCAGGTGACAGACAGCGGCGACACTGCAGATCGGTACGGACTGGAGCACGTTTCCAAGTGGAACTTCGAGACGTGGAATGAGCCCGACCACCAGGACTTTGACAACGTGTCCATGACCACCCAAGGTAGGCGGGGCCTCCTGGGCCCCACATGCGAAGGGGGCGGGGGTGGGGGTGGGGCCCAGCCGCCTGAGGCTGTGGACGCCTAACCCTCCGCCAGGTTTTTTCAACTACTACGACGCCTGCTCCGAGGGGCTGCGCGCCGCCAGCCCCGCTCTGCGCCTGGGCGGTCCCGGGGACTCCTTCCACCCGCCGCCGCGCTCCCCGCTGAGCTGGGGCCTCCTGAGGCACTGTCTCCGCGGCACCAACTTCTTCACGGGGGAGGCGGGAGTGCGGCTGGACTACATCGCCCTCCACAAGAAGGTGGGGCCCGGTCCCGCCGCCCCAGGTGGTTCTCCTGGGCTGGCGCTGTCGGTGCTGAGGCCGCGCTGCTGACCGCAGGGCGCGGGCAGCTCCATCTACATCCTGGAGCAGGAGAAGGCAGTGGTGCAGCAGATAAAGCAGCTCTTCCCCAAGTTCGCCGCCACCCCCGTTTACAACGACGAGGCGGACCCGCTGGTGGGCTGGTCCCTGCCGCAGCCGTGGCGGGCCGACGTGACCTACGCGGCCATGGTCGTGAAGGTGGGCCGGGCCCCGGACCTCTCCCGCCCCCACCGGCCGCGCTCCGCAGCGGGAGGGTGGGCAGGGGGCCCTGGAGGCCGAGGTCCCAGCTGCGGCGTCCGCAGGTCATCGCGCAGCACCAGGACCTGCTGGTAGCCAACGGCAGCTCGTCCGTCCACTACACGCTCCTGAGCAACGACAACGCCTTCCTGAGTTACCACCCGCACCCGTTCTCCCAGCGCACGCTCACCGCCCGCTTCCAGGTCAACAACACCCGCCCGCCCCACGTGCAGCTGCTGCGCAAGCCGGTGCTCACCGCCATGGGTCTGCTGGCCCTGCTGGGTGAGTCCGCGTTCCGCACGCCGCTGCGGGGCTGGGAGCCCCGGGACCGAGCGCGCACGCCTCTGGGGGCCGGAGCGGCAGAAGCGCTGGGCGGATGTGCGCTGCTGGGTGGGCCGCAGAGGTTGGTGGGGACCCCAGAGGTTGGTGGCGACCCCAGTGGAAGGGGCAAATGGTGGGAAACCCAGTTCTAGGAGGGGAGAGGGGTGGCGCCCTCCGTGTGTTGAACGCAGCCTCGTGCTCCGCAGACGGCGAGCAGCTCTGGGCCCAGGTGTCGCAGGGCGGGGTGGTGCTGGACGCCAACCACACTGTGGGCGTCCTGGCCAGCGCCCACCGCCCAGCCGGCGCCGCGGACGCCTGGCGCGCCGCAGTTCTGGTCTACGCGAGCGATGACACCCGCCCCCACGCCAACCGCAGCGTCGCCTTAACCCTGCGTCTGCACGGGGTTCCCCCGGGCCCAGGTGAGCACTGAGTTCCAGGGAGGGGGCCCTGGGGCGGGCTTTGGCCCGGGAGCCCGGCGTGTCGGAGGGGGAGGGTTCGGGAGGCGCGGCCCCAGCGTCCGGCTCCGCAGGGCTCGTGTACGTCACGCTATACCTGGACAACCAGCTTTGCAGCCCGCACGGCGAGTGGCAGCGCCTCGGCCGGCCGGTCTTCCCCTCTCCCGAGCAGTTCCGGGACATGCGTGCAGCGGAGGTCCGCGGGCAGCGGGGTGGGGGTGGGGGGGCGAGGGGCGGGGCTGCTCCCAAGTTCGAGGGTCCGGAGTACCCGCCCCTGTTCCTAGGACCCTGTGGCTACGGCGCCGCGCCCCTTCCCTGCCAGCGGCCGCTTGACGCTGCGCCCCAAGCTCCCGCTGCCCTCGCTGCTGCTGGTGCACGTGTGCGCGCGCCCCGAGGAGCTGCTGGGCCAGGCAAGTGGGAGTCCTGTCCCCCGCCCCGGCCCCGGCCCCACCCTCTCCGCGCCCCGTCACAGTGCCTCCCTCTTTCCAGGTGACCCGGCTCCGCGCTCTGCCCCTGACCCGCGGACAGCTGCTTTTGGTCTGGTCGGATGAGCGCATAGCCTCAAAGTGCGTGAGGGTGGTCACCCCGCACCCCTGTCTTTGTCTTACACTTGCCCGTTCTTCCCCCAACCCCTGCATGGACCCCTCCTGCGAGCCACAGTGCCCCATGGTCACCCCACTGTGGCCTTCAGCCCCCACCCTGACCACCCCGAAGGCCACGCATCCCTCCCCTCAGACCCCTCACACAGAGGAGAGGCACCCCTGCCTGATGCAGGGTGAGGGCACCTACAGGGGACGCCAGTGGCAGGTGGGCTCCAGTTTCTCCGCTCAGATGGCGTGGCTGGTCCTCATGGCAGGAGCGTGCCCAGGGCCCCGGGAGGGACCAGTGCGGGGCTGGGGCGATCGGCTCTGACCACCCGGACCTCCCCGGGTCCTGACTAACCAACCATCCCAGGTGCCTGTGGACATACGAGGTCCAGTTCTCCCTGGATGGCCAGGGGTACGCTCCAGTCAGCAGAAGGCCATCGACTTTCAACCTCTTTGTATTCAGCCCAGGTGGGTCTGCCTCCAGCTCCCCGGCCTCCGCAGAGTACCTGCGGTGTGGCGTCCGGGGGACCACGAGTGGTGAAGCCTGCGGTCGGGGGCTTCAGGGGCCACAAGCTCAGGAACATGTGTGTACCTCTGTGTCCCCAGACGCAGCTGGCATCTCTGGCTTCTACCGAGTTCGAGCGGTGGACTACTGGGCCCGGCCAGGCCCCTTCTCCGACCCCGTGCGGTATGTGGAGGTCCCTGCCCAGTGAGGGCCACCGCCGTCCGTGACTGGAGCCTGTGCCGACCGAGGGCTCTGCGTGTCTCCTCCCACCCGGGCCACTTGCCCCATAAAGTGCCTTCCCACACCCTGGTCCTGGCGTGCCGTAGTGGGTAGACGCAGGCTGGAGCTCGCCTTCCTGGCCTCCCCTCGACCCCAGGTGCCGGGAGGGGAAGCGGGTGCAGCACCAACAAGCCTGAGCTGCTGGAGGCGGCTGAGGCGCAGCTGCCTTTAGGAGGCCGTCCCCCTCGGGGGGGTCTCCTCGAGCACCAGGGGGCAGCAGGCCCCAGTCCCCTCCCACCTTCTGCCTGCAGGGAGACCCCCCCCTGCAGCCCCACTGTGCTTCGCCCTCTGCCCTGCCGGGCAGGGGCAGGGTGGGCTCCAGGCTGTGGGGCCCAGACTCTGGCCAGCAGCAGGCCAGGCCACCGCCAGGGGCATTCCTGTTCCATCTGTGGGCCCAGGAGGAAACAGGTGGTGTGGTCAGGTGAAGACAGTTTGGGGACACCCAGAGTTGAGGTCGGGGCAGGGAAGCCCCCCTGCTTTGTTGGGGGGGCGGCACAGAACCCCTGCCCCTACTGCTCCCAGGCAGGCAGGACAGGTGAGAGAGTGCTTTCCCAGGTGCGGAGCTCACCTGGACAGGAGCAGACAGACACCAGGGGCCCTATGAGTGGAGTGGGGGGCGAGGAGGCCCTGACCCCACTCCGGTCTCTCCGTCCCTCAGGCGGCTCTGGGCTCCGGTGCGGAGGAGATGGGCCAGGAAGGGCAGACCGGTGACGAGGCCCAGTCTGACCCTCTGGTTCCCCCAGGCTGCCTGCCTGGCGTCTATGGAAGAAGCTCGGCCACCAGCTGCCTGGTCACGGGTGGGAGGTGTCCACTGGGTCATACGTTTATCTGAACCCCAGAGCCCACCATAGGCCCCCCATACCCCTTTTTCTCATGGGGGTGCCTGAGGGCTTGGGGCCTGGTGTGGGGGTTCGTCACCCCAGCTGCAAAGCAGTCTCTCCTCCACCTGCTCACACAGTGGCTTCAGGACCCTGGCGGCCAGGGGCCGTCTCAGCTTCCAGCTCCTGGGCGGGGTCTGGGTTCCCTGGTGGACCAGGTCATTCCTTGGACACCAGGACCCGCAGATGTGCGGAGCGAGATGCCCCGGGACAGGGAGGAGTGTGGTGGGCACACGCTCAAGGCTGTGCCTCAGCCGTGGGTTCTGGCCTGGCCACTGCACTTGTCCTGGTAGGAGGGACTCCCTCTTTGCAGGTGACTGTGGCTCTGGGGCAGTCATCTGTGCTCCGTCCCCGTCTACAGGGACAGTGAGTCACCATCTCCACCATGATTGTGGCTTCCTACGTTTCGTGCACTCGGGTGGCCACCAGAGTGCTGAGGCGTCCCCGCCCTGTGCCCACACTGCTGCTGCGGGTGTAGCCTGGGCTCCGCGCTGAGACCGGCAGGGGCTGGGGAGGCCCCCGTGGCAGCTCCCGCACCGTCTCTGTCCCTGCTGCCACAGCTGCTCTGCACCTGGGCCCTGTTTTGGAGAGTCTCCCCCACGCTGCCTGGAGTGACCAAGGTGTCCCTGTGGGATGTGGTGACCCTCATTCTGTGCCTCTCCCCAGACCCCCTTGTTCCCCCAAGCTTCCCACCTTGGGCTCTCTGAGTTTGGCCAACTGGTCGTCCCCTCGGTGGCCAGCTCTGCCACCTTGGTTCCGCCCACCGAGACGCAGCTGACAGGGACCCCCCAGCAGCTCAGGCATGGGGGAGGGTGGCGGCACTGCAGCGGAGCTGCAGCCTTCGGGCCAACGCTCGCCTCTCAGCGTGTCTGGGTCACTGGGCTACGTGGGAAGCTGGGTCAGAGCTTCGCTGCGAGCCTGAGGCTTTTTCAGTCAGAGGCCAGCTGACGGAGGGGGTGACGTGGGCCCGCGCCAGGGCGCCCGGGGCTTCGCGGCTGGGGCTGCCAGAGGCCTTGGCGGCTTCAGGCGGTCTGTGGCAGGTGGCCACATCGCCTTGCCACACCGAGACCTGCCGCAGGGGCTTTCCTGCCAGCATCACCTGCTGCCCAGGGAATGGGGCGAGCAGCAGGCGTGGCCTCCCCCAAACTCACAGTCCCGGCGATCACCACGCCTCTTAGAAGGGGGCACGGTGAGGTCCAGAAGCCAACCTCCCTGTGTTTTTGTTATTTTATTATTTTTAGAGAAGGGAGAGAGAAACACCGATCCTCTGTCTCTCACACGCCCCCTACTGGTGACCTGGCCCGCAACCCAGGCATGTGCCCTGACTGGGAATCGAACCCGCGACCTTTCAGTCCACAGGCCAGCACTCAATCCAGAGCCACAGCAGCCAGGGCAACACTTACCTCACTTTAAGTCAGAAGTGCCAATATTTCTGACACTGTGAGATCCCTGACCTTCCCCGAGGCTCTGACCTTGGGGTGTGTCGCCACCCACTGAGCTTGTGAGTCACCTCTTGCCTGCCCAGTCCACTGAGCTCGAAAACAACTCTGGATCGTATTGAGATGACTGCCATCACAGTAAACCGTGAAGACGTGCCTGCACCCCTTTGAGGTGGCAGAGTGCCCCCGACTGCTTCCGTGACGGGACGGAAAAGAGCACGTGCGGGCTGGCCGAGTGCTGTGTCGTGGCAAAGCACGTGTGTCGTTCGGCGCCGGCCTGTCAGGTTAGAGCAGGAAGGGACCCCTGCCTCTCCCTGTGTTTCCGACACGTCTCTGATGTGGGAACTAACCACCTCTGCGGCTTCCCCGCGGGGGGGGGGCGCGGGGGGGGGAGGGGAGCAGGGAGGGCCCGGCACCCGTACAGCCCTCCCTCCTGTGCTGGCGCCCTGCGGGTCAGGAGGGCGTGTCGCCCCACACAACGTCGAGGACAGTTCTCGCGCTCGAGACCAGCGCACGGCAACCTCAGGAAGCTGGCACGTCCCTTGCTGCTGTTGGTCCCCAGGAGAGGGCCGCAAGGGCCCTTCCCTGCTTGGGGGTGTGCCAGCGACTGCAGCGTGGACTCTGCTTAGGGACCTGCACCCTCGTCACAAGCTCTGCGTCCGTGAACTGGCCGGAGTCTGGGGGGCGCTGGACGAGGGTGTGAATTCTCACTATGATGAGGGTCAGAGCTGCCCAGCAGCCCCCAGGCTGCACCCCGGGAAGCCCCCAGGTGCTTCCTTTCCCAGGACTCTTCGTGCGGTCGGTCACCTCACAAATGCCAAGCACCCCTGAGGGTCGATCACCTCAGAAATGCTACATGTGGGAGTTGCTGTGGTTCTGACCGGCTGGGGCGGCTGGCCCCGGGAGGGCCCTGGGGACACAGCCGCGGGCAACCGGGAGGCCAGCACCCATCTGTGGGCCTCCAGCTCCATGCCCAGGCTCCAGGCACCGTCTCGGTGGCCGCGTCCCAGGCCTGCACGGGCTGTGCAGGGGCTGAGGTCACCACCACGCTGCCTAGGTTCCTGCCAGCGCCACCAGGGAGGTGGGGTGGGGGTGCATCCAGGCCACTCGGGGAGCCAGCCTCCTTCGGGTGCTGGAGGCAGAGGAGTGCAGGTGTGACAGGTGGGGTCCTCACTGAGGGTCTCCTGCCTGTCTGTCCCCACAGCCCTGTCCGGTCTCAGGGTGTCCCTCCCAAGTCTTGCAAATGGCTGCTCCTTAGCCAGTGAGGGTCCCAGCCAGGTCCGGCCTTCCTGAGGCCGCAGCACCATGACCCCGTCCGAATGTGTCCCTCATGCTCCCTTTCAGGAGAGGAGGGGTGCCCGGTCCTCGGTGCAGCCGTTGAAATAGCAATCAGCCCTTGCCTTTCCCCTGCACTCCTCCAGTGCCGGGTTGTTTGAGTAACCGGGGCGCTCTTTCCCATTGGCAAGGTCACTGGGTGCTGGAGCCCTCATGGAGGGTCTGTGTCCTGGGCCCCCTTTAGTGCTGGTGGCCCACAGCCAGGGGAATGACGGGGACACACCGACCTCAGTGTTTGCTTCAGTGCAGGGACTGGTCCCGGAGGTGGGCCGGGGAGCATCCTGGGCCTGGAGCAGCAGGGTGGGCACCGCCCCCCAGGTGTGAGCTGGGAGGGAGGCGGCCCCTCAGGCCCAACACAGCACCCTGGCCCCTTCCAGGTGTGCACAGAGCAAACCCAAGTGGGAGCCACAGTTTGGGGGATCAGGATGTCACCGTATGCCTGGGTGCGACCTGGGCCCCCTCAGGGTTCCAGGGCTGCGGGGGCAGCCGAGGAGGAGGAGGGCCAGCCTGAGTGTCCAGGCCCGCAGCCCCAAGGGGGTGTGAGGACAGCATGGGCCACGGAGGGTGTGGCTGCAGCCTAGGCTGACACAGCAGGGCCTGCCAAGAGCACCCCCCCCCCCCGGGCCGAGAGTGGTCCTGGGTGCCGCTGCCTCGGTCCACATGCCCCTCCCACCCGCCTGGACTGTGACAACACCCGCCGGGGTGCAGCACAGCCCCCTGCAGCCTGCTAGCCGAGGGGACTTACTGGGGTTGCATGGGAAGGGGGACCCTCCTCCCAAGGCCGAGGCAGCCCGTGGAGGCACCTGCCCAGTAGCCCCAGGAGGCCAACGCCCCCTGCAGCCTGCTGTCCTGCCCAGTGTCCTGCCAAGATCTCTGGCCATTTGTTGTGAGGGCCAGCCATGAGGCAGGACCCAGATCCAAGCCCACACCCTTGTGGGGACAGCTACCCATCGGAAGGGGACCCCGGGTGCAGGCTAGGCTGGGGGTGCTGCTCTTCCGAGTTCATCCCTCAAAAGGGTGGGCACGGGCCACTCACCCCTATAGAGTCTGTGACTAAGAGTCACTGGTAGTGCCCAGTGTCCCTCAGAGAGGAAGGGGTACGTGGGTCCCAGTCCCTCCTGACGGTGGTCCCAGAGCAGGGTCCCGGAAGGAGAGGCCTTTGCCCCTGAGGGAGAAGCTCCAGTGAGGTCGGAGGTTAAGATGCAGGTCATGGATGAGACAGTGACCCCAAAGAGGCTGTCTGTGCATCGGA